CATCAAAGCGAGACCAGATATACCATGGAGCTTTTTTAAATATAATTATAATTTGGTGGACCAACTACTCCAAAGAGTATCTGTAATCTCCACAAATTTTTACACACGAATTACTAATGATATTATTATACACAAGTTACAACGATTTTTCTAATCTACGATTTGTCTGCACATACAAGTATGCTGTCACATTTAGTAAAGAGCGAGTAGATATAAGTAGGGTTGAAATGACGATAATAATGATAGAAATAATAAATCTGACAGTTCTTTTCATCATTATGCATGTACAAGTAGATATTGTACTAATTGAAAATACCAAACATAATATGTGAATTCTTATGTATTGCTACTTCAACTACTATAGTAACTGTGAATCTGAGCACTTGCAGTTTTGAGAAAATCTTTAGAATGTTACATTACCTGTTTTAGAATAGTACAGAAAATATAAATTTAACAGTATTCTTATAGTTTAAGAATAGTTAAAACGTTCTACACAAAATTATAAACTCCCAATGTAAGGAAATAAAGGAAAATATTTATATAAATTTATGAGCAGTACATATTTTTTCAAAAGTAAATAATGCGTACATAAAAAATTTACATGTAACAAATGCTTTTTAAAATATTTTATATTGCAAAATATTTGTGTTTTTCCGAACACTATTCTGAATATTTGAACAAGAATAGTTCCATTATAGATTAAATTAGTTAATGTTTAAAATAAACATATTATTAAGCAATATTTACTTATTCTTATTGCTGTTTTGTGTAATTTAGTGTCTCTTATATAGTTTAAAAATACGCCGTTAGTTGAAATCCTATTATCATCATCATTATTATTATTAAGTATATTAAAATTCTCATTGCAATAAACATCACCATGTGTGTGATAAGTTTAACAATAGCAATATAGGTCCATAAATAAAAAATAACGAAAATGTTTCTTCAATATGTATGATTAATCTCTAAAAATAATTTTAATAGGACAAAATAGCATTATAAAGGTTTTAAGAAGGGAAGTAACACTTTTTTAGTTTTCAAAAAATATATATATATATATATATATATATATATATATATATATACTATAAAATATTTTAACGAAAAAAATTCAGATTTCTGCCAATTGCCATGTCAAAATCCCGTGTAAATATTTAAAAAATATAGATTTATTTAATTTCTTAATACATTGAGACTGATCAAAAAGATTTTAGCACGCTCATTGATTCTACAATGCAATCAAAATTCTAATGAATGTTTTTACTTTGAAATTAGTTTGCAATTGAAAGGGATATTCATATCGTGTGTTTGATAAACTCTGCAGTCAAAGTGTTAAATGAAATATCAGTTGATTGCCATAATAGGTGATCATTGCTATCATTTAATAACCATAACAAATAACTTTACTTTGGCACCATGAGTCACTAAGCGCTATAGTAATGAAATGATTCACATATTATCGTATTTCAATAGGATCTACATGGGCAAATAACTTCTCTAATAATAATAATAATACAGAGCAAAAAAGTAAAATGTAGTAGCTACCTTTATCTACTATATTTGTATAAACTAATTAAAAACTGTCATACGAAGGTTATTGTCAACATTTATCTAGCTTTGTAAATTCATTCTACAAATACCTTACCCTACTATTATTAGCTGACAGATGCAAAGACTGTCAGGATGAAAACGTGAGAAAAAGCTAATTGAATTCAAATTTTAACATTGACACTTTTATTTTTAATATCTAAAATTTATTTAGTGATCTAATGCCGGTGCCTTATATATAACTTTTTTATTGAACCGAATATTTTACATTACATTACCCATTCATAAATTTCTTGATTTTAACAAAATAAAAAGTATTCACTAGCGTTACAGTGTAAAATTTGTTCTATTTAATTTCCATACATTCACATTGTATAGTACACAGTCTAAAAATTCCAATCAACTTAATTTACACACTTTTAAAGAGTTAGACAAAAATAATTACGATTTTAACTGATAGGTCGGTTTAAGGGATCTAGAATATTTTAATTTGTGCTTTGAAGCAAGAAACCCTGAGACTTAATTTGGCATTTGTTTGTCCATATCACAAATCTTGCAGCTTTTTTAGATAATTTTTAAACAATTATAGTAAAATGTGTACGTGATTAGTTCTAGGAAGGCAGTCGTTAATTTTTATAAGTCGAAAATCTTTTTATTACAATGATAAAGGGAACTGGTGAAGAACGCATAAAAACTTGGATATGAGATTCTGTCCCATGATTTAACATTATTGAGGTAGGTAACCTATATTTGCTACAAAATTTAATAAGTGGTATGCAAAAAGGAGAAGTTACACAAAAAGTGGCATCTGCATCTCTGTTAGCAACCAGTACTCTACGACATAGCAGAACACTAACAAAGAGCTTCTCGTAGTAGATAAAATTTACAGAGATATTTAACAATAATCGTAAGTTTTGATGCCTTCTTCATACGTCTATTAGCAGAAATATTCAGACCAATGTTTATTTCATCTCTAAAAATTAACTGTATACCTGAAACAGCTTTTCTATAATTTAATAAATCATCCAACACAGTTTAATGTATATAAACAACATTGTGATCCCTTACCTTAGAACAAGTAAGCAAGTATAAGACAAAAAAGATAAATCTATAAGTTGATTTACTTACATAGATATTACAAATTTTTGATTTTAATGTCACTTTGTTTTACATGAACAAGTGTGGAAATCAGTTCGTTATTGTTAATTTGTAGACATTATTTGACAATACTAATTGGCACTAAAGTGTAAATTGTTTACAAAACTGTTTCATGCTTTTTGTTGGAAAATTTAGGAAAAGAAAGCCTTTCTTATGCTTACAAAGTGAAAATGAAAAGGTACACTTTTGTCAAAATCAAGATACCTCGAATGGAACGAACATCCAAAAATATACCCAAATATAGAATCTATTTTGTTTTTTATTCTAAAACTAAAATGGTCCTTTTTTTAATTAATAGGCTACCAACTAAAACCTGATAAAATTTGTATTCAATCTAATCAGAAGAGGTCATTTGTCTGATAGTTAGAAGTAACATCAAAAATAAATTTTATCGCGATTCGATAAAGATATATATAATAAATATATAGTAAACTTTTAACACATCAATTTATATTAAAAGATTATGTATAAAGAGTTCACTTTAGGCTGACATTTAGGCTACATTAATATTGTTCTTCAACTATATATATATATAGGTACTTAAATTTAAATGGCCGACGTGGTTCGGGTCAAACGTTCTTTTTGTACTTTTTTAATTATATTTTTTATAAATCGTCAATAAATAAAATTATTTTATAATTAACAGAGATATCTTTAACGGTGAAAATACATTTTACGAATTTCTCATTCCTCCTCATGGCTATTTTTAGATTTATGACAACTGAAAACTTGATTAATCAACAGCTAATCAAAAGTATAGGAAATATGAACCAGGTTTCACTTGCTCTATCGTTTGGAGTGGACTGAATATAAACGAGATTGGCCCAGTTGCACCATGTAAAATAATATATGAGTCTATAGGTAATGTCGCGGCTGAAGTAAACATTTAAAAAATTTAAGTTGGATAAGTCGCTCCTGAAATAATCAGATTTGATTTTAATTTACTCCAATCGTAGATTCCTTTCATAATTCACATTCTTTTTTGAAGCAGAATTAAACAGGATATTTGTCACAAATTGCCAAAGAAAAGAAACATGTTTTGTTGCAAATGTCTTAAAAAAAATTTATTCCTAATAAAATACAACTGTAACAGAATTTCAAAAAATTTCTTATTATATGCACCAATTTAAAGGATATTAAAAATACCTCGTTCTTTCAACCAAATTACCTTTTGATTTTGATCTTCAAGAACAGCTACTACAAACGGATTTTTATTATATTGGACAATTAACAATTAGTACAGTCGGAACATTTTCTATATACATTGAAACGGAAAAATAACAAAATGGTTTTGCCAATCGGCATAAGATGATGGTAACTTGATACATCTTCACTACACTCGTAAACACCATCATCTAACAAAACCAGCAAACACTAAACAGTTTGTTGTTCAGAGATGGATGCAAATCTGCCGAAGGCACGAATTCAGTTATTTGAGCAGATAGAGGAGAAGTAGTTAATCAAAACAGTTATTTAGATTCTTAGTTATAAAATGATTCCTGGAAATTAGACAAGGAAGACACATGTAACATAATCATTCTACCAAAAAAACATGAATGAAGGAAGGAATTAATACCAATGGAGGACAATTATATTTAAACTGTCAAGAATGATCTTATTGATATTCACTTCACAACACAACTAAAAATTAGAATTATTTTAAGATATTTTCATTCATAATAGTCAATTTGACAGTTATCTATTTTGAAAGTTTTGCAGAATATCAGGATTTAATTAAAGTAAAGATTGTGATAAATTCTCATCTATCTAATAAAATTTGCAAGTCTAAAAAATGGATAATACAGTATGAGGCATTTTTCTGAGGGTTCTTACATTTTAATTGCCAAGGTGTTCCATTCTCCTAATATAATTCGTCTCGGCATTTGTATTTATTTGCCATTCTCTATGCCCTATGTAATAATTAATTGTGCTTAGGTCCTTGAATAATTCCGTTTTTAAATATGTATTCTGTATAGGGAAGGGAATGTAGTCATGATTTTATCACAAAGGCCATGAGAAAGATTATGATGGGTTCATTCCGAAGTTTTTAAATATAGTAAAACTGTACACTTCTATAATATAAATTTAACTGTTCTGGACAAACATTCATATTTATGACTCGATACTCATTTAATAAAATTTTTTTCAAGATATAAGGCACAAATAAATAATTTAAACGGAAATAAATGATATGCATATATTTTTAATTTCGTTGAGAATTTCATCTAAATTGAGTTAGCTGGTTGGACAATTAGTAAAATAAAATAAAAACGTTAAAAATAAAAGTTTATTTCATTTCGCTAAGATAACATTTATAAATGCTATATAATTTCTTTGTTTTTTTTTTGTTGTATTCATTCATAGAGATACTATACCCGATTGACACTATAAACTTAGACAATAATATTATAAACTTTAATAAAGTTTAACAATCAACCGCACTACCGTACTTAAAACTATATTTAAAAATCAATCCTTGAAGGATTTTCGACATGCGAATTATCTAAATAATAAACGATAAAACTTTGGTTGGTGGTGTCTAGGATTGAAGCAAAATAGTCTACAATTTACGCTCGCAATGATGATTTATTTCGAAAAATGTAACGGTACAATTATCACCTTTTGTAGAATATTTTGCTTCAAAGGTAGAAATTGAAAAAACGAGAGAAAATGCCTGCATTTTCCATAATTTAGTGCAATTGACGCTTATGCACGAACAGTATATCACTATAAGGTACAATTAATTATAAAGTAATATAAATAAGAAAAAGCATTTACTTAATAAAAAAGTACAAAGTAAGCCGAAAAAAACGATATAATTCGAATATATCTAAAGAAAAAAGAATGTGACACTTGATTTGTTATATTTCAAAAATTTTGATTTTTAAACTCTATTAACCTTTAACATTTCTTAACACTCTTCCAAACAAACATAACAAATTACACTTACAAGCTAGTTTCCATAAGCTAAAAATCGACAACAATAAAAAATATCTACTCTAACTTTTGCTTTTTACGATATTTACGAAAATATAGTATATTTCGGAATTCGATAGTTTTTATATAAGCTAGACGGTATTTTTACTTCTTTTCAACTTTTTATAGACTATGCAGTTTGACTGAAGCTACACATTAAAAAACATCTATTAAAATTACTTCTTTTTTTTTCTTCAGATTGTTTGATTTATACATAAATATCTCTTTATACATTTTTGTTTAACTATGTTTTAGCAATTAAACTACATCTGACCTATAATTCGTTTAAAGAAACCAGAGATATGTCGTCACACTTGCGAAAATTAGGAACCGATCGTGAAATTTATTTCAAATGATAAAAAACGCGTACCGAACATCTTCGGTACCGAATCTTTTTCGAATTTTTGATTTCGTAACGTGTTAAAAAATGAAAACGGCATGAATTGTTACAGTTTTCCGCATTTAGATATCAATATATTTTTCGTGGGCTTACCCGCAGTATCTCCGTAGGTGCTAATTTTTTCTACTAACTCTAAACCTTCGACGACGTGTCCGAAAATGCCCGTAAAACCTCTCATCTCCTGTAAAATTATTCGAAATTGCGATCCCACCATGCCCAAGTTGTCGTGCCGTTTTTGCGTGCGTCTCATACCGACGGTTCCTCTGACGGCCATCAGCTTCGTATCGTCCGGCAAGAAGTAAGATTCTTCGAATATCGATCTTCCTCCTCTGCCGTTGTTGAGCTCAAAGTCTCCAGTGATAACGCTCTCGCCCTCCCAGCACTGGAAAATTTGACAGCCCTTGTAACCCATGCCCGCCTCGCCCGTGGTCAGTAATCCGAAATTCTTGGCCATTTTTGGTGCGACGTCAGCTCTAACTTCTATTACGATTCGCCCTAATTGGGTTCCGTTAACTTCTACGTTGAAGTAATAAAGCGGGCACATGTTGGCCGGGTTACGTATTTGGGGAGACGGGATCATGTTCTGGACCATTATGTTATTTTCTTGGTAGATATTCTTGGGAGTGGCTATGACAAGATGGGGCGGAGCGTTGTGGGGAAGATAGTTGATGGGAGGAATCGAGTTGTGGTTCTGATAATCCAGAGATCCGTTCAGGTTTTGTTTCGAAAGCATATGGCGCGAATACAATTGGGACATGCAGTAATTGGCGAGAAACAGGATGGGGTTTTGTTGCGATGAAGGTACGATCCGTGAATTTCCTGCCGGATAAACAGTTTCGCCGTTATGTATATTACTCAGTGCTTGTTTTAACAAATGAAAATCGAATACTACGCTTGAATTTCTTATAAGATCATCGAGTTGACATTGCAGGTACATTTCCTGGTAACGGAGTTGCAAACGTTGCTTTTCCATATTAACGCTGGAATATAGATTGTGGACGTCCGACAAAGATTCGGCCATTGACAGGTTAAGGCGAAGCTTTGTCAGGGCGTCTCTCGTATCAGTTAATTCAAAATGCGAAGCATTATTGGTCAGTTCGGCTTCAACATAGGTTTTTAACGTAACACAAGCCTCCAATATTTTAAGTAAAAATTCGCGTTGTTGCATAACCAGTCTTTGTATCTCGGATAACATTTTATTCATCGAAGCCAGATCAATTTGTAACTCGGCGACCAATTGATCCTTGGCTTCGTTCTGGGATTTGACCTGGTGAGACGAGTGGTCGGTTGTTGTAGCGCACGCTCGACATACCGGTATGCCGCAAGTATGGCACCACAACGCCAACGGCATGGCGTGTGTGTGACAGTTTTCCGAAATAACTTTGACGGGTTTGTCGGGAGGTTTCACGCCCAGCTTCATCTGAGCGAAGTTCTTGGTTAAACATAAAACTGGATTATACGTCGGGAGGGATTCTGGTCCTAGTTCACCAATTTCTGTTTTCTTCCAGCAATATACGCAGTAGAGTTCTTGGCCCTTTGTGAGATTTGTACGCATACATTGCAGGCAAAAATAATGTTTACATGACAGCAGTTTGGGACTTTGGTCTGTTTCGTTGAATTTTTGCTTACAGTATCCGCATAACATTAATTCTTCGAATTCTGGTACTACAGATTCCATTTCTGAAATAATATAAAAATATGTTAACCAAAATCATGCAAACCTATTTTTGAAAATTTTGCTCTTATTCGCTTTATCAATTCAGCCTATTACTCAGATTAAAAAAGGGATAGTGCTAAGTTTTAAACTATTGAAAATTAAAAGAAACCAAAAAAAGTTAACAGCTGTTTACACGTAGCTTAGATTAGCAATGAAAAACTTGCATTTCGTGCAAAATTTATTAAAATGAACAAAGCACTTTTGAGATTAAACCATCTTCAGTGCTTATTGTTGAACAAAAGTAACCCGATGATAATATGTATCCAATAACAATGTATTTAAAAATACCACTGCTAAATTTACATTTAAAAATATATGATTATTTAAAAATTAATTTAAAATATTTGTTTTCATTTTTATTATTTATTAACACCTGTCCTCGTCCAGACAATATGAAAATGACAAGTGACAATTTTTTTATATTTTGCACAAAATATAAGTTTTTCATTGCTAATTATTGAAAATTATCGATTCAACTCATGTTGACATCTCAGGGGACAGTGTCAGTGTTCTAAATTTTGCTCTGTAGGTCATTGAGACTATTCGTTATAATTTTAGAGTTATGATTTTTTATTTTTTTTAAACCTCTATCTAAATATTTTATTTCTCCTGGGCTAGTCTATATTGTTTCTGATAATTTTTTATTATGATTATGATAGCTGTCCCCCTCCGCGCAAGATCTTTACAGCATTTCACTCATAAGGGGTGAATTATAGGGATTATGTCTCACACAATGTAATAATTTTCCATATATTTAGTTGATTAATAATCAATAATCATACATAATGTACTTGACTAAAATAGCTGATAAATATACTTGGTACATTTGGACGTTGTTATACAACAAAGAATCAATCAACATTTTTCCACAACAATCAATCCAATGTCCTCAAGAGCTATGCGATGTTCGGTTAACCCTATTTAGTTTTATAATGTACATTTTTTTTTAACATTTATTTAAGATTTACATATACATTTTATATTTGACACTTAATAATAACTTAAAGAATGAAAAATAAGCACCTAGGTGTCTCCACCTGTGCGTGCTATAGCGTACAAATAAACTAAAGTATAAATTTACAAAACGTTTTGACGATAACATAGAGAAAAAAAATTATTCCAATGTGGGGTGGGGGTGTATCAGTCAATTTATAAAAATCTCCTTAAATAATTCTAAGTTAACAGTAACATATTATTTAGCTTTAAGTTGAAATATATGTAATTGGGTTATATTTTTTTTTTGGTTTATCGGTAGCTTATTAAAAATTTTGGGATCAACTGTGGTTACAAATTGTTGACTGGCGTCACATTGACATGGTGTCATCAAGCTGTTATTTGACTTGGCTCGTGTGTTCTGGGGATGTGTAGCAGTAGTTCTTACATGTGGTTTTTATAAGTATAAGTAGTGTTCTTATGTTTAGGATTTCATCATTGTACAGAAGAGCTGTCGAGTAAAGTGATGGTTGTTGGTAGATAATTTTGACAATTCGATTTTGTATAACTCTGAGCGGCTGTAAGGTTGTATATAAACCCCCAAACAATTATCCAATATCGAAGGATTGACTCTACTAGTGATTTGTAAATAATTATTAACTGTTTGCGGTTCATAAACTTTCTCATTTGATAAAATTTGTGTATAAACCTTCACAATTTGGTTATAATAGATTGTATTTATTCATTCCATTTGAGATTTTGATCAATTATGATTCCTAAATATTTTTAAGATAACTTTGTTATAACTTGATTCTTTACTATATCATACCATCCATTTCATTAAATGCTTTAAAAATTTTGTAGACAAGCTTGTCATGTTATGTCATTGGTTTGTGCTGTAACTAAATTATTGAACTGTCATATTTTATTACTTTGGGATATTGAATGTAAATGAAAATTTCATTAATTTATTCAATTAATTTTTGATCAACATGTTTTGTTCACTTACTTATGTGATTATCGATAAAGATACCACTAATATTATACAGATTCTTCAACAATACCTGTATCCCACATGATGGCATAATAAATGTAATGAAAATGGCTGTTCCTAGTGACTTTTTATCAACTCAAGTGTAAATATGTGGGTGAGATTGTTTTAATTACTTATGAAGTTATTTTTCTTTTAGCCAACTGATGACATCAATTTTATTACATGTGATGCGGATATTGTTGAAAACTTTGTTTATGGAGGTATTATTATTATACTCTTCTCATACAGTAGTTTGTGAGAAGTATTATAGGTTTATTTTCGAAAAATTATAATTTTTAATATTGATCCAAATTTAAAAATGTTTGTACCAAAATCCTTCTCATCAAATTTTAAACAACTTTTCAAAATTTCCGTCCGTCTGATGTCTCGTTTTTTGTCCTCACGATTAGTTGAAAACTAAAAATGACATAAACTTGAAATTTTCAAGAAAAATCAAGCTCTATAAGGGGACGTAGCGTATTGATAAAAAAAACTGAGGGTTGAAATTAAAAAAATATATATAAATTAAAAATGAAAAACCATATCTACTTGAAATTTTTAGTAAAAATCAAGCTCTATAAGGGGACGAAGCCTAATGATTCTGAAAAAAATATAAATTAACCTGTGGGTTAAGGGGGGTTGAAATTAAACGAAAATCGATATCAAAGTGAAATTTTTAGTAAAATCAGGCTCTATAGGGGATGAGGCCTATTAAAAAAATCTAAATAAACCTGGGGGTTGAAATAAAAAAAAAAATCAGGAATCAAAAACGAAAAGCGATATCAACATGACATTTTTAGTAACAACCTCTAAGGGAATAAAGCCTATGGATTCTGAAAAAAAAATCTGAATAAAATGGGAGGTAAAAGGTAGTTGAAAAACTAAAAAAAATCCTAACTCAGAAACAATGATACGAACTTGAAATCTTCATTAATATAGAATGCAAAGTATTATATATCTTAATTCTAGTTATTATTTTAGTACAAGTTTTGTACAGGTACTTGGCTAAATGTGGATCGTAGATTCCTGGACCAAAAAGTGCCCAAATTAGTCAATAAATATAATATTAGGCATAATTTTGCCACTATTGAAATTTACTAATTCTGATTAAAAAGACTAATAATAAATATTTTATGGTATCTAATTGAGGTGAATAATTACATTTATTAACGAATATTTACAAGAGTAACAAAATATGAGGAACAGATTTTACTAAAAAAAAACTCATAAAACTTATTCCAAATACATGTACCATTTTTTCACATAGGAATTTTACTGTGTGAAACCTTTATATTCATTAAGTACTAATGAAGTTGGTTTCACTATTTTAATACTGTTTAGATCTTCCAAAAATGACAAAAATTTTAGGCAAAATTAATAAAAATAGAACGCATTAGCATATCCACATCTTAGGGCATGGAATACTTTTTTTTATAAATGACAATTACTAGAACCAATAAACAATGAGTCTCTACTTCTTTTGTAACCTTTTGATAATCAACATAAGAACTTTAATTCACAGCCTACTAGCAACAAGAGGAATGGAGTATGCCTATTTAATATTATAACACATTCAATTAAAATTTGGTGTTATCTGTCAAAGTATTTGAGTACATATGTATGTATTAATAAATACTTTACAATGTTAAATACATAAATATTGCAGTCAGTTCTAAAATTAGGGTAAATGGTTTCCAAGACAGTTTCAGAGCTAAACTTTTTGTAGATGTTTGTAATTGCCAGTTTCTATTATTTTTATTATTCTAGAAAAGGTTCAATATCCCAATATATATATAAAAAAAAATGTAAAAATCAGATCAGATTTTCCTGATTACTACACATTGACAACAAATGTATTTAATATATTTTTTATTAGAAATTAGATAACACTATCATTGAATTATCAAAAGAATTTCAAATAATATAGCAGAATAAATTCAAGGTCATGGTCACATTTAAAAACCATCCAAATTTAAAAATGTTTTATTGGTCAATATTTATTATTTTAGAGAAGTATTAATAAAAAATCATAATTTGTTTCTCTTTTTAACTGGATTAAATAATAATTGCATTATTTAAACAAATGAGTTGATTATTACTATAATGCAACGATTGTAAACTTTGACAAACAATTGAATGAAGTATAAGTTGTTTAATTATTTAAAGACAATCATTTACAAATCAATAGGCAAATTGCTCACCTATAACTTACTAGCATTTGTGTGAAGTTTTGAATTTTAATTGTGTAGGTTTAAGATGTAAACAAAAAGTATATAAAATACAGTTAATTTATTTACATAATACTTACATATTTTTATTATAGTCCTAATATTGTCATATAGTTATTTCATTCATTACATCAAATAATTTGATTTTAATATATTTTTAGTGAAAATGGTATTTCATAGAAAATATAATTATCTATGTAATGTAAAATAGCTTTCAGAAATATTTTCCTAAATTAAATCAATATTTAATAATATTAATTAGGTTTTACAGCAGATTCCTGCAAATATTTTATGAACATACTATTTATTGTATAAATAGATTTTAAATAAATACTAAAAAGTTTATTTTTAAATATAATTTTTATATGGTAACTCAAAATTGCTTAACTAGAAAATTATTAATTGACATTGTTTAAAAAAATACTTTTATTTAGAAAAAAAAAAAAAAAAAATTAAGACAGTTTAAATAAGACTTATATACTTAATGTTTGTATTAAAAAGGTTTATCATTTAGTGTAAATAGTTCTAAAGTGAAGTAGTTTAAAATTTGAAGTGGAATGAATTTTTGAAATCATATTAATAAAAAAAGGTGATTATTTAACAAATGTATGTATATCGTTTGTTCTGAGGGCACTAGGTCGATATTATTTTCATAAAAATCTTTTTTTTATTTTTCAGTTTTATAATTTTAAATCTGCTCATTAAAAGAGGATTCCCTAATTTTTAATGAATTGGAAAATATGAAACTATTGTCAAAATAAAATCACAATACATTTATATAGAAAAATATATTTTCTATATTAAAATCAAATTAAAAAAATACTGTAGGTTATATATTAAATTAATATGAGAGATAATTGCATGAAATAGTGATAGGTCTATTTGCTTTTATTGTATGACCCTTACTGTACACTAACTAGCAGCTGCTTGGCTTAATTTGTTTTTCACAAACTTTCATCACATTAAATGTCACTTTGTATTTTAAATGTTCCTTATTCATTATTATACTCCTCACACAGTATGTGAAGAGTTATTATAGGTTTACTTTCAAGAAACCAAAATTTTTAATTTAGATCAAAATTTAAACTTTTTTGTACCAAAATCAAATTTTAACAAAGTTTTAAAATGTTCGTCCTTTGTCACATATTTTATCTGCATGTTAAGTCGAAAACAAAAAATGATATCAACTAGATATTTTCTGGAAAAATTAAGCTCAATAAGGGGATTAAACCTATAAATCTAATTAAAAATGGTGAGGTTAATATATATGGCTAAAATTAAAAAAAAAAAAATCATAAATCAAAAATATATCAACATTAAATTTTTAGTAAAACTCAAGGTCTATAAGGGAATGAAACCTACAGAGACTGAAAATCTGATTAAAAAAATGGGGAATCAAGGGGGTTGGTTAACTGTGAAGAATATAGAATGCCATGCATTATATATCTTCATTTTAGTTAAAAATATGATTTTAAATGACATTTGGTTTGATCGTTTTTCATAATTTTGAGAAAATATAAACATTGACAATGTCAAAAATAAATAAAACCTTGATAATATAGGATTATTAATTTCATTATTAGAATTACCATATAAAAAGGTATTTTATTAGATAACACCGCCCTAATAATAAAAATGCCTTTCTCCCTTTTGGAAAATTTGACAGGAGAGAAGAAAAACGTTATGTTTTAACAAATACATTATTATATTATTACTGTTCTTCTTCACTAACACATATAACTTTGAATATAACACAAAAAATCATTCACACGCTTTACTCTTTTAAACAAAAGCGTGGAGCTAGGCAAATTTCTTTTTGGCAACTGTCAAATTGGAAATTGGCAAATTTCTATTATTTCAATTTAAAATTAACCTGTTAAGTACACTCTGAAGTTTTGTCAGAAGGTGGCTTATACGTTATTCTAATAGATGGTATCTAAATCCCATTTTTGCAAAAAAGTGGAATTAGGCACTTTTCTTATTAGGGCGACGATAAGTACTTCCTGAATATATTTTTTAAAACTAGACACTGAATCTGCAAACATATTTTATCTACCTACACCTTACAAATACTATAGTAATAATAAAAAATGCTTTTCAAATTTAAATCAAATTGTGCTATCTCAGGTGTAGACGTTATTTAAGATGAAAATGTTCAAAAATTCAATAATATAAGAGAACCCTTAAATTATTCAGGCCAATTATTAGGTACATCATTTAATGAATTGGTTTCAATGTTAAAACTGTTTCCTATTGCCACTTTGGAAGGAGCACTGTTAATTAGAACAATTGGGGAATCATTTGGTTTAATGTAAAATTCACAATCTTTAAACAATATTGTTCTCTATTTCAATATTTAAGAAAATATACACTATGGTTTAGAATGATTATGATGATACTCATGAAAGGGGGGATAATGCCTGTAATTCAGCTGTCATTTTTAATTTAATGGTAATTTAATATATCCATCATCCATACATTAATATTATATGTGTTAAGGTAGGTTTATTCACAATCACTGGTACAAATTAAATGAATTTGTAAGACTAGTAACTGGTATTCAAACGGAATTGATATACTTAATTGCAAATAAAATGTTTTGATATCCTTTATCAGTCTATTTACACATACATAATATATTTGTTTAGTAATAGAATGAGTAATTACTTAAAAATTATTGCTTTGAAAAAGATTACGCCACTGATGTAACTGTTGCTTTGCACTATCCCTTTGTACCTATTCGAGCATCACTCCAAGTGGTAAATTAGCACATTAATGATGAGGATTTTATCGAAAACTTTTGTATCATGGATGATTAGATGTAAAATAGTAAAAAAACACATAGTTTTGTTCGTTTTATTCATTATTAAAGAGTCTTCGCGCCAAGTGTTTTGTTTACAAAAAATAGACAATCGACAAGTGGGTCCGATTTGCGTCGTGTTGGCTGGGAAGTATCCTCCTCATGTTTTAAAGCCTAAATGGTTAGGTATGATGTATTTAAACGATTTATTTATTGCAAACAGCCTTACCGTTTATATTTTACGATGTGTAACACAGCCTTTAAGTAAATCCGATTAAACGATACGTGTTTGGTCGTTGTTAAAAACTCGAGTTTCGGCAACGGGTTTCTCGCGGTATTTGTACTATTAGCGTGTTTACGGTACGGCAGACGATTATTTACCATGCGATTATATTACATAATTATTTCGTGCCGAGAAAATCGGCAGAATTACGAAAAAACTTAAAATTATAGTGGCCGTTTTACGATGTGCCACATCATGTTGACGACTGACATTCCCGTTAAGTTTGCGACGATGCGCCTGTGTTTGACCTTGGGCCTTCGCGTTGCGCACCTTCGTTTGGGCAATCTGAGAAGGCGCCAAGTTCGAATCGTGATCGATAAACCAGCTCGCCCGGGTTTACGAGCGACGTACAAAATGTTCTCCGCGCTACCGTTTTTTTTTGTATTTAAATTTTATTCTTTATTTATTTCCGAGGCACTGGGTCGTATGAATAAACTCGAGTTTATATTGAGAATAATGAATAGTAAATACTTAGTTTGTACAAGAAGCATGGATCAAAGTTGTAAAACACCTCAGAATTAAAAAAATTGTAGGTTTTTAAGGCCGCCATTTCAGTGTATTTTACGTGGTCAAAACAGAGGTTTACGATTTTTTAGAGAACTTATCTTTCACTGGATGGATTTTAGTGAAACTGGCAGCTTATAGTAAAATGTTTACTGATTGCAATGAGGCATTTTCATTTGTCCTGCTAATTATTAAATACTGTTAAAAAATATAAAAAAGTGATAGTCACATATGCAGTTCAAAAAACTTTAAAGCATTCTACATATTTTTTTGAATATTCTTGCCAAATTTTAATAATCGATGTTGCGTACTTTTTAAACTCTGCACAAAATACGATTTCATATAAAATTGTAAATTTCGCTGCGTCCATATTGTATTTTAGTTCAGGTCCTAAGTTATAGGTATATAGGTGTCCGATGGAGCAAAAGTAGCGAAAGTTTCGACGCCGTGTTGCCATATCTTAAAATTGTCTTGAATTTAGAGAAATATATCATGCATATTTACAATTTACAGAAATATAAATTATATATACAGGGAGACTCATTTTTAACCGTTTTCTTAATAAGATGAATTTTTAATAATATTTTGTGCTTTGTCTAAAATCAAATACTAAATTAAATAGAATTTAAAATAAATGCCTTTATACGAGGGAAACCACTTTGCTAGTTGAATACTCATATAAAGCCACAAAATATTAATTTAAAACGCATATTATTAGGGAATAATAAAAAAGTTTTCCTTATGGTTCCAACTTAAGTAGACACTGTATGACAAATACAAAAAAAAAACGTCGAAAATATTTTTTACAATACAGAAGAATGTTATAAAGTTATATTTTAAATAAATATGCAATTACAGCAATTTAGCATTAAGATTTAGGTTTGATGATTATTTAATTTATAACTACAATTAATTTATAATGTAAAACGTAAATAATCACCTAACCTGCAGTTTCATGCTAAACAACTGTAATTACATATTTGAATGTAACTTTTAATTCAAAATAACTTTACTTTATAACATTCTTTTGTATTGTAAAAAATAAAGGTACTTTACTCTTGAGTAAAATTTATATTTTTGATACGGTTTAAAAAATTGATATCTGGTGGTTGGATTTTAAGTTTTGGACTATGCAAAACTTTTAGTTAGGAGTAAAATTTGTCACAAAACCAATAATAAAAAAGTTTTCCATATTTAAACGTATTTAAAAAATAACCGAAAACAAAAATGTATTATTTCAACCATTATTATTTGGAAATTGGGGTAAATATACCTACCTATTTATAACATATTCAGACAGATTCTTACGATAAGTATTTATCCTAAGGAAGTACCGGCGACGACCCTAATTAGACAGATAGATATTGAATCCCTGTAATCGAGAAAAACCTTGTTATAGAATGCGCTAGTTCAGTGCTTCAGTGTGATGTCATTTTGGTTCCACTGACATTTAATTCTAACCAAACTTTTAACAAAAACATCAATAAATTTGACATATACGTTTTTACTGTGTTTAGTTTATTTCTAAATATTGTTAACAAGTCATAAAAAATAGTTTAAAGGTATATTATTGGTAACTAAGCGCTTGTATATTTAATGCATGCTATCTACTTACTTTAGGAACATATTTATATTAAGTGAAAGAACGATATAATTTAGGTAAACAAAACTAACAAAACAAACTAACAAAACGCACTCAAAAAATCTACTGTCACTTTAATTGTCAGTGGAACCATAATTACATCATCACTGAACTAGCGCATTGGTAGATTGCCTCACAATATATTTCTACAAATACGCGGTGTTGACAAATCTTTTCCACCAGAACAACCTAATTGAAAACATAAAATAAAAGTATGTTGCGTATATTATTTAGCTGGCCGATTTTTGCAATATAATGGACAAAATATGGAGGTTAAAGAGGGTAGCTGCATCTACGTAGGAAAGGATTAACTAAAATTCAAATTTGAATCATGGTATCAAAAACCGGAAGTGCTGTGGCGTCCTTAAGGTTTTTAGTTCATATACTGTGTGTCTACTTAGTTTGGAATCATATGGAAAACTGTTTAGGAAAAAAATGTTTCCTTATAAAAAGTTGTACCCAGTTTAAAACCGAAAATGCAACCATCATATTATATTAAATTTTATTAGTTGTATACGAGGTTTGTCAAAAATAAAAATAGGTACTTTACTCTTGAGCGAAATCTTATTTTTTGATCAATCTCATATACGATTGATAAAATTTGATCAGTTGGTTGAATTTTAGGTTTTAGATCATACACAACTTTTTATAAAAAATAAATCTTTTTTTTTTAAATTACTAATAAAAAAGTTGTTCTTCATAAAAAGTTGTGCATGATCTAATACCTAAAATTCATTCATCTGAAATCAAATTTTATCAGTCGTATACGAGGTTTGTCAAAAAATATGGCTATTATACGCCGACACTCGAACGGCGGATATAACTATTGAAATATTATAGACAGTTTCTAGACACTTTGAAACACACTATACATAACAATTTTGGGTCCGCTGACACTAAACATTTTTTTTTACCTTAAAATCCTTAAAATTTGTTGTCGGGTCTCCATCATAAAACAAATGTGAAATTAACCATATTCACTGATTTCTTGTTGTAGAAACTAAATATCAATATTAGACCATTCATAGAGCAATAAACCATACCAAATTTTTTCATAAACGATCAAATTTTCTTATTTTTCATTTTTAGTTTGTTAGGAAAATAAACAATAAATTATTTTCAATGACAATTGATGTTTATAGTTTCTATAAATGCGGTGTTGCCAAATCAAGTACGAAAACATATAAGTTAGGAAATAATTCGGTAAATAAAAATATTTTATAGCGTTTGCATAGCAAAAAAAGTATTTTGAAATGTGTTTCAGAAGGTCTAAAATCGTTTAAAAAAAATAGCCCGTTCGACCGTTGGCGGATTTTTCCAAAATATGATTTTGCTCAAAAGTAAAGTACCTTTAATTTTAAAAAACATCGTATAAGACTAAAAAAATATGATATGTGATGATTTTATTTTGGGGTTTAGGTCATGCAGAACTTTTTATGAAGAATAACTTTTTTCCTAAAAATGATAATAAAAAAGTTTTGTATATGATTATAAATAAATAAGTAGGCATTTGCTACGTTTGAAATGTACCTCATCGAGCAGAGCGAGTAGATTTTTGGTCACGTGACATCGAACAAATCATATGGAGTAAACGGAGCAAAAGGGGCGGTATCGAGTAAAAAAAGCAAAACGAGGTACTTTTCAAACGCAGCAATTATATACCAAAAATGATTATTAATAAAGTTTTAAAAAAATATAAACTACAAAACTACAAAAAATAGAATTGTCACTATCAAAGAGTTAATCAGTGGTAACCTTTGATGAAATATTTGCATTTGTTTTTGTATACACTAATTTTCACTTTTAAGGTTTTTTTTTTTCTTCCGCGCTTTCAAGTGATGTGGTAAAAGTTTTCTTAGCCTTGATAATATATAAAGTGACATATTTTGTAATCGCAGCAAGTGACAAAACGATCTACGTCACCAGTTACATCATAGGTTTGTTCCAACTTGGTGTTTCTTACCGTTTTTTGAATCATACCAATATCGGATCGTTTCATTAACGATGTACTGCGCAAGCGCATCTCTGAATGGTTTTGGAAATGAGTTGGAACGTTTTTAAAACTGTTGATGGTCCATAAATAGAGAAAATAAAAGGGGAAGAAAATTCTAACCAAACTTTTCGAAAGCAAAACAAAAATTTGCTATCTTATTGATGTTAATGAATTTTTATCATTCTAGATTTTAGGGCACAATAAAAAAAAATTATTTTTATTTATTATTTTGTTTAGACTATTTAGAGAACATAATTTAAGATTTTATTTGTATGCACTACTTGTTTTAAATCGGGTAAATTCAAATATTATGATTTATAAACAGTATTTTCTTAATAAAAATGTATATCATGTTCTCATTTACATCAAAACGCTATTAGTTTGTAGGTTAAGTTAACTTAAACTAACCCTATCAACATATATCGATCGTTCTGCGAAAGTCAGGTCTAACAGTTCCAAAAAAATATGTGAATCGATATGACGGTACAGATCGATTCTGGAATCATCCATTTTTTAGTTGAAACGAATTCTGTCTCAACCCGCACATCGTACTAATTAAGTTGGAACGCTAGGATTGTATCGAGTTGGAACAAACGTAATGTTAACATTATTTAAAAATAAACCTTTTATAGTTTTAAAATCAATTTAAAAGTTTATATCGAAGGAATGAAGGTTTATAAAAATATATTTTGTCAATGAACTTACAACATATTAATAATTTTTTATTTTTCTAAATAATATATGCCTATGCATATTGTAAGTTATGCAACTAACAATGCAAACGTATTATTGGTTGCATAGATGTACAATATTAATTAAAATTCTTCAAGTGACCAAAAACATACATAATTGATAATTTTTTTTTTAAATATTTGAAATAACTACTTGTGTTCATTCAAATAAATGAAATTATATAAAATAGCACATTTTTTAACCGACTTCAAAAAGGAGGAGGTTCTCAATTCGTCGTAATATTTTTTTTATGTATGTTTAGCGATAATTCTTTAACACGGTGTCCGATTTCAATGTTTCTTTTTTTGTTAGAAAGGGGATACTTCAGGGGTGGTCCCATATAAATTTGGTCAAAATCTGATAATTGAGTCCATGAGAAAATCCTCAAACTCTTCATTTTTTATGTATGTTTACAGATAATTCTTTATTACCTTGTCCGATTTCTATTTTTGTTTGTTAGTAAAGTGTTATCTCAAGGGTGGTCCCATATAAAATGGTCAATGTGTGGTGATGGCATCTGCACGATTTTGAAGTCGTTTTTTTAAAATTACTTTTAATACCTGTTTCTCAACAATTTTCCAAATATACTTTTTATACAATCTTTGATTGGAAGTATAAAAAATAATAATTGATTTCAACCCCAGAACTTAGAACGGGAACGCTTCGTTCAAACTATTACACTTAATATACATTTTTAATGGCTTAAAATTTAGAATTGATTTTAGATACATTTAATTGCCGCGTTTTTTTATCCACATCGGACACATCTGTCCCATTACATGTATACTGAATCACGTGATCAAAGTTTTACTACATCTCAGATGCATCCGATGTGGATTCTCAAACGTGGAAAATGTATCTTTGTATTCCCATTTTTTAACGATTCTTCATAAAGGTGCGTTTAGATCGGCCAGGGCCCAGGCTAACAACGGGCCAAGGTTAGTCAGATTTCTACGGTGTCTACGGCTGGGCCAAATAGGATCGAAGTAGGCTTGTTCGCTATCCATCGCGCGGTAAATATACGACACCGTGTAAATCTTACGAACCTGGACCCGTTGTTGGCGGAAGTGAAACCGTCTTAGACCACGTGGCAGCGTCTCTTTGCCTTCTACCTCCATGTCCAGGAGTTATGAAATAACGAATTTATTACTTTCATTTGCACCAACCCTCAGGGTCGTAGCCACGGGGGGTTTTGAGGCCAAACACCCCCCTCAGTTGATCAGAAAGTATAATTAAAAAACAATTACGGAAATTAAAATAATTGCAATCTCATAAAAAATAATAAATATATGTATTGTTTCTTAATTTCAAAACCCCTTATAAATTTTCTGGTTACACTGCTGACCATACTGTATAAATAATTAATTGTTGGTTGATCTTTTTTATCTAAACCCATGTATATACAAAATAATCCAAAAATTTATTTGTAAAGCTTATTTAACCTTCAGCAACGATCCAATTATAAGGTGAAATCAATAATTGGGTAACAATTTTATCCACCCTATCGATAATATACTATTTCTGTATCCTTTTTTGCTTTTTATTTCTTTGTGGCGAATGCGTCTGGCTGTAATGTGTCTGAAGAAGGATTTTTTTCTAAATTTTACAAAAGAAACATTTATAAAAGTATGAACATAACGAAAATGATCTTTTGTTTATTTTATAATTTTTCTAATTCTAAAATTCTGCCCGGTCAAATACTAATGAGTAAACAGAAATTTATCTAAAATACTAATGAATAAACAACGCGACCCACTTGTATACTATCACTCATATGCGTAGTCGTTCGCCAGCGATTCGCCGGCGTATCACCAGCGATCCGTTGGCGAAAGCCCGAAAAGCTGGCGAATTGCTGGAGATTGTCACCGGCATCTCTCGCATGTTATTCATGATTCATTTCTTAAAATTCAAAAAACAAAGAACGAATATCAAATTTTTCTCCATAAAAGAACATGAAAACTAATTTTTCCTATAAAATAACATGAAAACTTGCGAGAGATGACATGCCGGTGACAATCTCCAGCAAGTCGCCAGCGATTCGCCAGAGATCCATCTCGGCGGTATCAGCAGCGATCCGATCGAGTATGCATACGGCTGTATGTTTCCTCTATGATCACAATGAATATATAAACGAAATATGTGGTATTTTTAAACACTAACGAAATTCATTTTTATTTTCAGGAAAAAGACTCATACGGTAACGAAGTGTCACGCCTAGCTCGTCCACTGCCAGTCGAATACCTCCTCGTAGACGTGCCAGCATCTACCCCTAATACCCCACAATACACTTTCAACAGTGATCCGTCTAAGCAACCGTTCCCTGTCGAAAATCGTCTCGTCGAAGGTCACATTCAAGATTTCAATGCACTTTCTACTTACCTCTCACAGTTTGCTTTTAACGAATTTTATATAGCTATAAATGATTTTCATCTGTTGCTGTATATTTCGACTATGGACATGTTGCCGATGCGCGAATTCATAGATCCGTTACTCAAAGCTCTGAGGAGTAAAGATAGGGAAGCCGCTGAAGAATGGTCTCGGTCCGAACATTGGGCTACATTGGAACAACTTATCGCTGCCAGCTCGCCACCACCTTCAAGGTAAAGATTTTGTTTTTTTATTTTTTTTTGATTCAACGTCAGCCCTTTAATTTTTAAAATATTTGAGAACATTACAGAATACCTCAAGAATTTGTGGAAATACCACAATCTTAAAATTAACAACTAAAATAATATAGATGAACAGCTTTCAAGAGTGGAAGACCTTCTTTCTGAAAGAGTTGAAAAAAGCGTTGGGCCAGAGTAAGACTATATCAGTGGTGTAAAATTTATTTTATGAATTCTGCCAGGGCAGCATATTTGGCATTTTCATTTAAAGCGGAAAGAAGTGTTGCCAGCGGAGATAATTAAATTAATTCATATAAGTATCCAAGATACTTTATTTACAAATATCTTTCTAAACCAATGTATACACTAATGGTTAGATTCTACTAATTTATCAATAAGGAAAACTTTGTTGTACTAAATAATTTTTTCGCTGAGATTGACTGATCTTTCATACCAAACTCTCAAGACAAAGCTCATCGTTCACCGTTTCCACAATATTATTGACTTCTTAATTAAGAACTTTTCATACACAAGTTCAGGACCGGATTTAGATTTTTGAATTCTGTAACTTTATTATTTTTGAGTTTTTGTTTTAAAGTTATTCGAAAAAGATGTTTATTTTAACGCTATACAGAGTTAAAAAACGTATCAACTTAGGATTCACCTTGTATACAGATCTGTTCGTTAGTGTTCTACTAGCTCAGAAACATTCTCAAATTGGTATCTGTAGTAACTATCTGAAGTGTATCAAGTCTTACTTAACCGAATGCTCTCAATGTATTTTGTAATATATCAGTGATGTCTGGTGTTCCTTAAAGTTCCCACATTGGACCCATTCTATTTATATTGTTTATAAACGACGTAACAAATTGCTTAAACAGTCGCTATCTTTTGTTTGTAGGCGACCTAAAGTCTTATAGTATAAAGACCAGTGATAACTTTGCCTTACAATCAGATTTGAATCGTTTCACGGTGCAAAATTAATCGTTTGTCACTTAACGTTAGAAAATGTGCTTACAAGATTCCAACATTATCAAAAATGTTTATGAAGATGATGTTTTAATAAATAGTGTCTCATTCTTGACACCAGTCTGACATTTAATCGTCTGAAAGGCATTTAGAATGCCAATGCCATACTCGCCACATTTATAATACTAATGCCATTATGTCCCTTTACAATTGTTTGAATACTCTGTGCTGTTGTCTGGATGCATATCTACACAGGCCATATCAATATAATTGAATGGGTACAACGAAAGTTTTTCAAGTAATTCAAGTTTCATTTTTCATAACGGAATACTTCACACGAAATGCGTTTGTTATTATGTGGCATATAGTCACTTGAAGCAAGAACAATCTCTTCTTTTGTTCCTTTTTTCAACTACCCAATAAGAGGTCTAGACATTCTTTTAAAAAAAATCACATTTCTGGCTCTTATTTGGCGAACATGACTCACTTTTCGGGAAACATTAAACAACATTTAACGAAGAACTAGCAAAGAGCATTATCTAACCTTATTTCCCTAAACTACAGTAAGTTTTACCTAACAACATTGAACCAACAATGAGCAAAGATCATTATCTGACCTTATTTGTCCAAACTACAATAAGTTTTACCCTGAGCGTGACATTTTTAATATAAACTTACTATCCCTTAAAAAAAATTCGGCTGCAAGTGATTTTTTGCTTAATTTTTTATGTTTTGAATGCATTTTATTTATTTGTATATTTAGTGAATTATTAATTTTACTAAGTTTTGTATACTACTTTGGAAATGTACTTTCTGTAACGTATGTTCCAAATAAAAAAAAAACTAGAAATGATTGAGGCCCCATATCTATGAGGCATCGATATTGCATTTGTGCCAACAAAAAAATGTTCTTATTCCAACTTTTTAACACATTCCTCGACGTACGCACTTCTCTTGTATATTTTTGCCAGCCGTGAACCCCATTACTTTAAGAATTTGCGGTCTAACTTTAAATATTAACGCTGAAAATGAAATATTTTTATACCCGGGCACGATGAATGACATTTTATAGGCTTTTCACCTTCCCATATAAAAACAAAAGAACAAAAACTGTACGTAGATGATTGTAAAAACAATAAGCATGTATCTAAAATAAGCATATAGTTCTAAAAAATCCACCAAAGTTCCTTAGTAAATGATGATACTGACCATTAAAGAAAGGGACGGCTATTATTATTTGCCGTATTGAAATGATAGATCGCTCCGCTCAATTCGAGAATCGAAAACCAAAGCTCGTTAGTAAATTATGTATCCTTTTAACTATTAAAGAGCTAGACAAAGCATAAAATGTTTTGTGTTCTAATATCAAGATCTGGTCAATCGCTTTACAGATTAATATATAATAAATATCTTTCATCTATCTGATTAATTGTCACAGAATGGACCTGGCTGAAGGATGGTATTCAAAAATATACAAATATTAATTATTATTTTACTTGTTCTTAAAACTTGTGAAATAAAAAACATCATAGGGATTAACTGTCGCGGAAAATATATATTTTAATGTAATATTTAAGTTGTATTTTATTTATTAACTCTTTATTAATTTTGCAATAGTACTTACTTATTGTTGTTAGTTTCTTTATGTTTTTTTTTTTTCATCTTTGTTGAAGTCTAATTATTGTTGATCTTAGAGATATGAATGATGAATATGATGTACTAATGTCAAATGTTAATGTTAGAACGTCAACGGTAGAAGTAGATGATGTAGAAATAATAAGAACGCTATTAATTGCTCGGTTATAGACTTTATAATATTGTTTAATAAAAAGAGAAACGGATGAAGATAGTTTTTTGACAGTTCGTAGCAATTATTTGTTTACATTTGCAGTACCTCATTTCTTAACGACCTTTGGTGAATTTTTGTAGTACTATGCACAATTTGGTGACATATTTTAAAGAGAGTTGAAACATCTTTAAAATGTCATTCATCATGCGCCTTAGACCACAGCATACTGGCGCATTCGTTTGCAAAATTGTTTTAATTCGTAATTTTTTTTTAAATGTCCGGAAGGCTTTCCTGATTATAAAAGTGTAAGATGACACTCGATATTTGTTGATGTTATTGTTTAAACAACGAAAAATTAATTAAACCAGAAAAATGCATTTTATGCAATGGAATAATTTTTTTTATATTCTTTAGGATATTTCGAATAAAAAAAGTCCTTACGCCCATCATCGTATCTTCAACCCTTTAATTGTTATGAATTTTTTAAAATCCAAAATTGACGAAAATTCTAATTTTCTTGAATTAAATAATATACCTTAAAATTTAAAATGTTATAATTTTAAATTTTTTACCGAATATTCAAACTATAATAAACAAAATTCTAAATAAATCTTCAAAATTTTGTTTGTTATGTTTTTTTACGTTATAACAATATGCTTCCTACGCGCGTGTACTTTTATAGAGAAGTACTTCTATCTCACTTCCAACTCAATGTATAAGATGGGTAAGAGAAAGCCCGATGTAATCAGGAAAGCCTTCCGGACATTAAAAAAAAAAAATTACGAATTACAACAATTTTGCAAACGAATGCGCCACTATGCCCTGCACTACCTAGGTCACATACTTTGATTTTCTTTTACTATACGGAGAATGGTCGCACTGCGCAGCTTTCTGAGTGCCTTTTAAAAGGAGATAGAAAACTCCGCCATTTTGAACCCTTATTACGTGTTGCCTACACCTTGGCGCAATATTTTTAATAGGTGCGTTTTAATCATCCGCTTCTACTTCGGAATTGTAGGTTTTCTTGTTTTAATCTGACAGGTTAAAACGACTAAACCGACAATTCCAGAAGCAGAAGCGGATGATTAAAACGCACCTGATATTTTGCTTGCTGCTGTCAGTGTCAGTGAATATTATTTTTGAAGTCACAGTTTATTGCTAAAGAATCAGTTAGCTCACTCGGACCAGTTGAAAGTTCCAAAATAACATCCACTCCAGGGATACAAATTCAGGATACGCAGAAGACTGCAGTTTTATTATAGGCGGTTGTCATATATTGTATTATCCGAGTTGCACAGTGTATAAACTGAAACATTGAGATCGAAAGTACCGACGCAGAGTGAGCGATCTGATTCTTTAGCTGTAAACTGTGTCACAGGGTCCAAAATGGCCGCGCCCTATGTTGGGCTTGTCGGACCTCTCTCTTGCGTCGTAATCAAAGTATGTGACCTAGGTACTGATCTTATGTTTACCAACTGTCAAACCACAGACACTTTTTCCTATATTGGTGTCATTTTAAACTTCAAATAAATCATTTGATAATTTTTTAAAAGATTTCATTTGCATTCGGTCCTGATAAGTTGGGAACTCCCAATTTAGCTTCCCTCGAATGTTTAGTTACACATTTAATATTTTTCAAATTTTAGGCCTGGAAGTGTTGCGTCAGGTGCTATTACATCTTCTCCTGGTTCTGCAAGTGGACCAAAATGGACATGTCCCTTTTGTACTTTTCTTAACAATGCTGATGTTCAGAATTGTGAAATGTGCAATTTGCCCAGGTCAAATCGACCACACTGAGGTAATTAAATTCGAATTCAGTTACTTATTACATAAAAAAATTTTTATCCTTTAAATATAAAATTTATTTATTTCAGATTAGCAGAAGAGGTTAAGAACAAAATCATGTGATTTGAAAACTGTTTTTGTGTTTGTAAGCATTGTTTAAATTTAATAACATCCCCAAAAAAGGAATGAAAAAAAAAATAACTAGTTATAATGTTTTTAAAATGGATATGGATATTTTTCTAAATTAAAATTCAAGTTTGTGTTTACGTTGAAGAATTTCATATCGTCCTTGTACATAATAGCTTTGGATTTTATTTTTTTTTTGTAGATATAAGTTCTGTTTATTTAACTTATATGTATGGTGAAATGATTTGATTAGAAATAAAAGTGAAAGACTTGGTTTATAGTCAATAAATTTTTTCTAAACCCTACAATCCTAAAATACCTGTTAAATTTTCTTATGTTTAGGGAATATTCAAGGAATAAATCTTAAAAAAATTTTCATTGGATTCGATTGACAGCTGTTTCCATCTAAATCCACTATTGCTCGAATGATTGAAAAGTTTGAGAAATGTGGATTTGTCAGAATTGCCGGAAGTCTGTTGACATTGAAGAGCCATGTGTAAAATCAATTAATGATGAGCGACAAGATAGAGAAATATATGTTTGTGTCTTTGTTAAAACCATTTAACCGAAATACGGGTACGTTTTCACTCCAAATCGCTACAAATCATCAGAAAATCCCGAAATCATGGCCGAAATCACTTCGAAAACTAATTTTGGGGACAAATTATAAACATGCAGTAGGTGGTGGATCAAAAAATGAAACAAGTTGTGTAAATAAGTAGAGCAAAAAAGGGCCTTTGAGAAAATTTATAGATCATTCATTGGAAACTATATACACTCACCGACTTAAAATTTGATCCATTCAAAATAATGACTTATTTAAAAATGCTCTAACTTTCAAATGCGGAGGCTGATTTATTTTAGCAACTTTTAGATAAAATACTGTAGTTTTAAGATTATTATTCGGGCATCTAAAAGTAATTTAGTACTCGCCGGATATACAGGGAGGAAAAGAAAACAATTTTTTTCTCTACTTTTGACACACCCTGTAGGTTAATTCTGCTAGTAGATCTGCACACAATTAACTTTATCAAGAAGACTGATTTGTTTCCAACACTTTGTTTTTTTATTTACCCCAATATCTTAATTTGTTTGTGAAATGTGACGGTTTAAAGAAAATGCAACATTCTTAATTTTTTTTATTAAGTTTTAGCAGAGTAATACATAATTTTATAAACAAATCAAACAACAAATAAACTAATAATTATTACAAATTAATAACGGGTATTTCCCCCACGAGCGCGAATAACTGCCTCGATGTGTCGTGGCATACCCTCTATTAGATGTCGAATCTCCATCTGCTCAATCTGATCCCATTCTTGGACCAAAGCATCTCTCAAAAAATTTAAATTTGAGAAGGAACTCGGTTATGAACTCGTCCGCCCATCATGTCCCAGACGTGCTCAATTGGATTGAGGTCTGGGCTACGTGATGGCCAGTTCATCCTTTGAATTTCTGTTTCGTCCAAATATTGAGATACAATCCTCGCAATATGTTGTCGAGCGTTGTCATGCATAAACATTAATTCGTTTCCTATAAACGGTGCAAATGGAATTACATGTGGATCTGCACATCACGAATATATCGGTTAAGTGTCATTGCTCCGCCGCCAACAATGACTAAATCAGTACGAGCTTCCATGCTTATGCCGCCCCAAACCATTACCGATCCTCCTCCATAACTGAGTCTTGTGGAAACATTTGCTTGGTCAAACCTTTCGCCTCTTCTTCGGTATATTCTTTCACGGCCATCAGGAGAACGTTAACAAAACCTTGACTCGTCAGAAAATAAAATCTTACTCCAGTCATCGACATTCCAATGTTTATGCTCCCTGGCAAATCGAAGACGTGCTGTTCTGTGATTCCTAAGTAACAACGGACCAGTTGCAGGTCTTCTGGAGCGTAATCCATGTTCTCTTAATCGCCTTCGAATCGTTATTTCGTTAACAGCTACTTGACGTACTTCTTCTAAACGATTTCGAGCCATGACAGCATGCAGTAGTATTTCTTTCTCGCAAAACATTTAATGTTACAAAACGATCATCTCGAACATTTGTAGAACGTCGTCTGCCAGATCCTCTTCGTCTCGAAAAACTATCAGTTTCATTGAAACGTTGTACAGCTCTCTGGACGCTACACCTTGTAACACCCAATATTCTAGGAGCATAATACTAAGACCTACCGTCTTGTACCAGAGCAACTGCTCGTGCTGCATCAGTAGGCGTTAAAACCATGATGTTATGCTGATAATGAATATTTGTTGTGCTGATAATTAAACTGCAATTGCCAAGTAACGAATATTTGACAGTTGTCATATTGTGAGTCATTTAAATTATGACCGTTTCTAAAATGTAGCATTTTCTTTAAACCGTCACATTTCACAAACAAATTAAGATATCGGGGTAAATAAAAAAACAAAGTGTTGGAAACAAATCAGTCTTCTTGATAAAGTTAATTGTGTGCAGATCTACTAGCAGAATTAACCTACAGGATGTGTCAAAAGTACTAAATTACTTTTAGATGTCTGAATAATAATCTTAAAACTACAGTATTTTATCTAAAAGTTGCTAAAAAAATTCAAATAAATCAGCCTCCGCATTTGAAAGTTAGAGCATTTTTAAATAAATCATTATTTTGAATGGATCGAATTTTAAGTCGGTGAGTGTATGATGTTTTCAGCGAAATCACTGAAATTGTATAAAATTAAGGGAGATATCGGCTAAATCACCGAAATCATATATAGCCATGGTTATTTCGCCAAAATCGTAAAAATATGGGTACATTTTGACCTTAGTGGTTTACTCCTTGCATATAATCTTGGATTAACTAAATAAAAAATGAAAAAATCTTGTTTTAGCAGAATAAAAAATGAAAGAACTGCTAGGAATGTTAAAATGAACCAAAACAGTTTGCATGTAGCTTACATTTACTACGTTTATTTCGATGCTTCAATCCGGACATAAACTCAAGCGGCTTGGTAAATCCCCGATATAAGCAGTACATATTAAGCGCTCAGGCGGCTTGGGATCATTAAGCCAATCTAAACAATTTGTTGGATTGGCTTAGGCAAGCTACTTCAAATTGACGAAATAATCGCCTAATTCATTTTCAATCCGGATCCAGCTTTTGTGTCTAACTTTATTCGCCTTTTTAAACATCATAAATGTCAAATGCAGCTGATCGAATTTTTGGTTAGGTCAATATTGACTTTTGTATATTATGAAGTATATTGTTTTATATTGTTTGCCAAATTGTTTTAAATTATTAGCTTAAAAAATGAAACTATATCAAAAGGGAATTGCCGTCATCTCTGCCATGTAGATACAAACGAAAAAAGTTAGGTTAGAAATTGCTTGTACTAAGCCTCCTAGATCCCTCGAAATAAATACTTGAGAGTTAGAGAGAAAATATATGTTTATTGTCCAAATTAAAATACTTATTGACAAATGCAATATTGTTATACAAAGCACAAATAAATAAATAGTCATTAAAATATAAACAAACATTATTATAAATTAACACTACATACATCTAAAATAAAATAGAACAAAACAAAATAAAACACATATCACGGCCCAATAACATGATCCCCTTTCTTGGCTATGTGTTCTGATGATGTTAGGATTTTCCGTGGAATAATAGTGGAAATTATGTCTATTAACGAATCCGTTCTTGTGAAATGTAGATTCATCAGAAAACTGCACTCTATAAAAAAAAAAATGGATTTTGTTGCAGTTTAGTTTGTGCCCAGTTACACAACACCATTCTATTGTCAAAATCGGTGTCTTTCAGCTCTTGATGCAATTGTATTTTATAAGGATGATATTGATGCTGTTTTAAAATCCTTCTAACGGATGTTCTACTTATACCTACTACTTCGGCAATCTTTTTTTGACTTACATGAGGATCTTCTATCGCTGTCAAAATTACAGATAATTGGTTATCATTATCAGTAGCACGTTCGTCAATTATTGGTTTTTTATAAGCAACATTTCCTGTTTCGGTAAATCTTTCATGTAACTTTTCAAAACTTTTTTGATCAGGGATGCGTCTATCGGGATATCGTTGATGATAAATTCTTTTTGCCAATAAACAATTTCTGTCGGATTCTCCCAAAACATAGACCATGTCAATTAATTCGTTTTTCGTAAAATTCATTATTAATAGAAGAATTATCGCGATCAGTAAAAATAACTTGACACTTCATTAAGACCCAGCCTACTTGATTGAATGTTCACTTTCAATAAAACCACTGGTAGAAATTGGATTTTTGATACATCAATGTCTTTTTGGAATTTACTTTTAAGATATGTATAGGAAAGTACATGGGGAAGTCGAAGGGTATAAAATTCTCGTTTCATCGATGAATAGTAATACAGGGTGTTCTATTTGAAAAATTTGTTAAAATGTCCTAGAAATTTTTGGAAATTGAAATTAATTTGTGACCACCCTGTACAAAATAAAAAATTAAAACTTGGTCTATTGGCTTTATACATTTGTAGTTTTTTAAATTCTAACGTCAAATTCGAGAGAGCACTGCATATTTTAATAGGCGTCTGAAAATGTAATATTTTTTGGTATTTCTTCTTTTTCTGCGAAAGGAGTAGGATGTTAGAAACAATATTTTGTGGGTATGCACTAGTGACCATAGAGTACCTAAAATTGGAAAAAAAGTTGGGTCATTCCATTTAAAAAAAAATAAGTGATTTGCCTAATTTACTATTGGGCCACCCTGTACGCAAGAAAATAATTTTGGGATATTTGGTTTTGACCACCATTGACAGGTATACTTTGAATAAATCGTTAAGATTTGCATAATAGGAGTTATAGAACTACGACAGAGGTTTGGCCAACCCTGTATATAAAAGAGTCTCTTATAAGTTCAGTTTTGGGAATAGGCAACTTCAAATTACCCGTTTGGCGAGTTACACGGGATATATTCGATTTATATTTCGACTCGTTCTTATGTATCATGCAACAAGTTTCTAAGATAAATAAAGAAGTTAATATTACTTGTTTTAAGAACAGCAGTCTACATGAAACTAATCTGTGTGCTCCACATAAGAACCTTATTGCCCGTTTCTGCATTATAAAGACTCTACTAAATAACTTGGCAGAACAGATTCGCCAAAATTGAACAGTATAACGTAAATGGGAGTCAACTAACGCATAATATGCAGTTTTTACTGCATAAACTCCTAATTCAAGAGAGATAGCTCTAATGGCCTAACAACCCAATGCTAGTTTTTTAAAAGTGGATCCACATGAGATTTTAATTTCATATCCGTGCCGATATTTAAACCCAAAAATTTTGTGTAGAGTTTGTGACTTCTACAGTATCCATATATATTAAAATATCAGGAATGTTACATTTAAAGGTTAGTATTTTTATTTTTTTTTATTTAATGACAGAAAATTTGCAGTACACCATGTTTTAAAGGATTTGAGGTCATTACTAATATTTGCATGAATATTGACGTCTTTATTATGCTACAAGATAGTAGTATCGTCAGCAAATAGAGCGAAACTTCCTGAGATATTTAATTTACCTAAACCATTTATATAAATTAAAAACAGGGTAGGTCCAAGAACAGAACCTTGAGTGACACCCCATTTTATATCACTTGTTATCGAGTCTGAAACAGTTTGGAATAACTGTTTGCGACCTAAAAGGTAGAATTTCATCCAACTCAAGGCCACATCTCTTATGCCATAAACTTCAAGCTTTCGCAGCAGTACTCCGTGGTTGACTCAAAAGCTTTAGTCAGATCACAAAATACTGCAGCTACAGCCTAATTGAAATTTATTCTTGTATAGGCTAATTCCAAATAAGGATAGTCAAAGAGTTTTTAACCATTTCAGCCCCAGCCACTATTTTTACATGCTGTAAATAATCCCATCAAGTTGGATTCGCTCATTACCAGTTGAACAAATATTTTAAGTATATAAAATTAAGAAATATGGATTTTTTTAATTTAAAACAAAATCAGCACAAACCAAATAATGTATTTTCACCTATCAAAATTCTTAAAATAAATTAACTATTAATCGTTTTAGGCACAGAACTTTTGATATTTTAAAAATCATACCTGTCACTAGCTAATAAAAACCAAATAAATATATAAAATAGATACAGAATGTTTGTTTATTGAAATATAATTTTACAAATTACTACTTTTTACAATACATTTTCCTTGCCTTTGAAATCTGGTTAAAGGACTGTTGAGTCCGTAGTTCGTATGATTGAAGCTAATTGAAAATAATGGTTGTTTCTCTCTAATATTTATGTTGTTTAATCTAAAGTTTATTATCTCCAATATATCCGGACAAGCTATATTCCCTTCCAGGAGGTTATAAAGAAATAAAAGATCATAGCTAATTAACGTTTTCTCAACTGACAATAAGTTTAAATGGTTATTAAGGTGACCAGACTGGTGAAGCATATAAGAGGATGCTGCGCACTAATGTTAAGTAAAGGGTTCGGAATGTAGGCACAGATAATTTCCTAGAGTTCCTGGTCACAAATCCCAATGTTTTCAGAGCTCTACTAATGATGGATCTCATGTGTGGGACAAATGTCAAAGAACTATCGTAGATCACACCTAGATCCTTGATTTCACTAACTTTCTCCAAAACATTAGTATTGATATTATAAAGAAAATGAATAGAGTTTTTTGATCTTGTGAAGGTGATTGAAAAACATTTACGTGGATTTAAAGACATGGCATTATTTAAAGCCCAATTAATAAAATAGTTTAAATCATCTTGTAACTTCAAACAGTCAGGTAAGTTTAAGATTCCATGAATAATTTCAGGTTATCGGCGAATAGTAGGAACTACAATATTTAAATCCTAAAGCAACATTGTTAATAAATATATTAAATAGTAATGGTCCCAAATGAGATCCCTGGGGGACACCTGAACTTACATTTATTGGAATCGAAGTAAAACTTTTAACTTTGACATATTGAACCCTGGATTGCAGGTAACTTTCTAACCATTTCACTAAGTAGTTTGGAAACCCAAATTTCACTAGTTTCCTTAAAAGCAAATCATGGTTCACCGTGTCAAATGCCTTCGAGAAGTCAGTGTAAATTGAGTCAACCTGACACCCTCTCTCGAAGGCAGAAATGATATAATTTGTATTAGTGGACTTACCTCCCATAAATCCATGCTGTTGTTCAATCAAAATGTTTTTGCAATGCCATGACAAAGGTTTATATAACAATAATTCTAATAATTTAGGTATTGCAGAAAGTAAAACTACAGGGCGATAGTTAACTATGTCATCTTTCTGACCATTTTTAAATATGGGTGTAATGAAACTATCACGCCATTTTGCAGGAAACTATTGTAATTTCAAAGAGGAATTAAATAAAAACTGTAGTGATTTGGAAAGAGTGAATTTACATTTTTTTCAAAAAATAAGCAGGGATACCATCTGGACCATAACTCAATTTATCTTTTAGGGAGTTAATACCATCATAAACATCACTTAAAGAAAACTGTATAAAGGGAATATCAGGCTGGTTAAAAACATTATAATGAAGGTTTGGCTCATCTACAATATCTTTCTTATAAACACTGGAGAAATGCGTAGCACACAAATTACTGTCTTTCCCATTATCAGCAATTATACCATTATAATTCATTTATTCTATTGGGAATACCATGGTCTTGTTTCAAAGAATTAATGTGGTTCCAGAAGTATTTTGTATTTTTACAAACCTTCAGATCTATACCAGAAATATAATTTTCATAATTTAGTTTTGATAAATTTTTACATTGAGACCGAAGGTTAGAAAAATTTAAGAAATTAACAGCTAGCGAGTACGTTTGAATACAGCATGAGCTGCCTTCTTGCGAGAAATCAACTTTTTAAGTTCAGCTGAAAACCATCTAGGGTATACTGATGGTTTATATCTCCTAACAGGTACAAATAAAGCTAATGCCAATTTTAAAATCTGATAAAAAATGTCAACACTAACAATATCATTATTGACTAAAATACCCTCCCAATTAATTGGAGCAAAATAATTATTTAAAGCTACATAATCCGCTTCTTTAAAATCATAAAAAACAATGTCACAAGACAAGGGACTAATATCACTGACAGTTAATTCACATGAAATTGCAACATGGTGGAAGTTATTAGGCAATAAGGTGTCGACAGCTGTCTCGATAGTAATCGAATTCCTAGCGTCATTGTTACAAAAACATAAGTCGAGGAATATACCGTGCTGATTTGAAATTCCATTGGCCTGACTCAAATTCAAGTAGGAAAAACTCTCACTAATTATTACGGCTGGATATTCTGCAGGGCAAGAGACAGAGAGACCATCATCATACGAATAATTCCATGTAACATGCGGAAGATTATAGTCCCCAAAAAGGTATAGCTTATTGTTAGGGTTGTTTTCCACTATATGATCAACAGCAGAACAATGATCAATATAAGCATCATGATTTAACCCTGGTGGAATGTAGACACCGCCAAAAATAATAGTTTCATTATTGATGGACAATGAAACAAATAAATGTTCAACATTAATAAACTGAGTAGTAAGATGGGATGTTTTATATTTACTTTTAACTTTTTGTGATGTTATTTACATATAAAAAAGAACTAAAATACTAACATACAACAAAACGTATCAACTCGCATGATTAAAATTACTAAAACACAAGGCACATGGCTGGTTTATTGGGACACAAATTACAAAAGTAATAGTATCACGTCGGATGTTCAACATTGCACATATAACACACCTACGTTGGTGACGAGCAGTTGGTGCAAAAATAGATGGAGTATGCACAACAGGTTGGCCACGAAATTAAATTCGTTGCATCCATCGTCGCCTAAAAATTGACTCACCAGAATCCAATAACTCCATGTCTTCAGTACGTCCATCCACTAAGTAATCAATAACGTAATTTAAATACTTCGAGAAAGTCATGATAGTATTATTTTTTCTTTATATACAAAATGTATATTTATATACTATTGGATTTTAAATAAAACCAATCTATTGAATAAATAAATTTATTTAATAATTATGCGTAATATAATTGATTCAATTTTCCAACACATCTGATTTATAAAATATTTTTGTTACAAATTGGCTGCAGTAAAGAACAAAATATATAGTTACTATTGACCGAGGTATTCAAAAACAAAATTAATAAGTGAGAAAACTGTTTCAACATGGAATGATTTCTAGCCAATATTTTATTAAAATTATGCTTTTGAATATATTTCTAATTGTGCAATTCTTTTTTCCTCAATAGATTTTATAAACGTGTTCATCCTGGAACTGAAAATTTTTGGTTGTTTATTTAGAGAATACAAATTATGAACACCATAAGACCTTTGATATTTAAAAATGACACTCAACAAATGCCAAATACAAAATTCAGGCCATAAGACATCTGTAAAACAAATTTCTGTATTTGAAATTTGCCAAAGTAAAAAATCACTCAGTCTAACTTCTCCAGAAGTCCGGATTAATAGGTCAGGATCTTTACTTAAGTGAGTGTAAAGACAAGCAGAAATCGCTTCTTCAGTTATGTCATCTTCTTGTATAAGATTGTCTTCTACTGCTTGTACTACACTTTTAATACTATGGGTGATTTCTTCTCTGGAAGTATAGGAAAATGCTACATTTAATATTGACTTTGTATTATCCTTTGTAATTAAAGTAGCTTCCGCTATTAGTTTTCGTAAATCTTCTGGAAGTAATGAAAGATTACCAATTACTCTTATACATACACCTTCTTCCTTTAACTTTTCTTTTTCTTTAAATAGCCTTTGGAATTTTTCTCTGGCTAGTTGCATTAAAGCATCTACCTAAAATCATAATTATTTCTAGTTTAATAATCTTCTGTGAGTTTAAAATTTGATTGCAAAGCTTATTTCTATATTTTTTTATTGTAGTCTCTGTATTTTTAAGAATTATGTTTGTAAACATGTAGTGGGTACAGGATGGCCAAATAAGAAAGAACGTCAGCTGTCGGACACAGTGTATATCTGGGAAACAAAGTTTTTTAGTTCACTATTAGATGGTGTAATTTATGACCAATGATAAATAAATAGGTGGGTAGATAGTCAAAGTTGACTAAAATTTAACATAGAGTACAATTTTCATATCTTGAACATAACTAAATTTGGCATTTTTACTTTCCTATCGGTGTACAGATATAAGGAAAGTATAGGAATCATGATTTTTTTCGACCTCAAGTTTTCGACGGATTTTTACGTTTTGAGGTCCCCTGAATCCTGACTATTTTCGCGATGATGTGCGTGTGCGTGCGTGTGTGTCTGTATCCACCATAACTCATGAACTGATACACAGAAAAACACCAAATTTTAAACTTAAGCTTTATTCCAGCGTCCAATGAACCGATTAGATTTTGGGCAGAGTCGGAACATCTGCGGGGGGTACTTTATGGGTGTGGTCATTTTTATATTTTATGGAACATATCTGTTATTTACGTTTGGAGAAGAAAATTCTTCAAATAAAAGTTACTTCTAATATTATTATCTATAATTTTTGTTCTATACAAAATTTCTCTAAAATGGATCGTATTCAAGATATTTGAGAAAATGTGTAAATTTCGAATTTTGAAGAAAACTCAAAAACGGATAAAGGAAAAAACATTAAATTTTAAAATTGTTTTATTTCGGCCTGACGTGAAATGATTAGATTTTTGACAAAGTCGGAACATCTGGGGGGTACTTTATGGGAGGCCGTTTTTATATTTTATGGAATATATCTGTTATTTATGTTTGGAGAAGAAAATTGTTCAAATAAAAGTTACTTCTAATATTATCTATAATTTTTTTTATGTCAAAATTTCCTGAAATTCGAGAAATTTGACAAAATGTGCAAAATTCTGATTTTTATGAAAATTGTTGAACTAAAAGTTGTTTGTGATATCAATCTCTATTTTTGTTTATACATGATTTTTCTAAAATGGACCGTAATGGAAAAATTGTAGGAAAAGTGCTAAATTTAAATTTTTCAGTATTTTCGTTTTCAATGAATATAGAAAAATGTTTCGAGGTAGATGTATGTGGAAAATGTATATATTTAGTTTATTCTCTAAACATTTATAGAGGTGCTGCAATAGATTGTACAAAATAACTGGAAAAAGCCTATAATAACTAGATAGGCAAGTCATGTGTTGGACACATCAGATTTTTTAATTTTGGCCATGAGCAATACGACAGTCAATTCCCTGCATATTTATATAAAATTGGAATTTTGGATGGTCCCTTTTGCCTATACCAGAGTGTAAATGCTGTAGAAGATATTAATAATTTATTCTTAGAATATATTATATTATATCAAGATTTAAATAAACTCCCTCCCACTTCAACTCAATATATTTCTTCACTTTAAGTTCAATCAGATAAACTTTTGACGCCATTGTTAAATTTACTCAAGTACTAAGATAAATATTTAAAATAATAACATACATGAATTTTAAATTGTCTGTGGTAAATAAATGTCCACGTCTGATAACATCTATCCATTCAAAAAAAAGTATATATTCTTATTTGGATATCAGGTTTAATGGTATAATAATAAAAAATTATATACATGGTGTCCCCGATATGATGAACAACCTGGAGCAAAACTTCAAGGGGTTATTACATGGCAAAAAATATAAAGTACCTATACTTAACATAGGTTGACAAGTAGACCTCAAATTTTCGAATTCAGTAAAAAGCTGAGTGGGTGTGTAAAATTTCATTACTTTCTATCTCAAACCATTTCAATATTGATCAAAAGGGGACAATCCTTTAAAATGCTCTACTCTCCTTAGGATAATCTCTTTGTTGACCTGCGTTTATATAAAATTGGCAGTTATCTTGTAGTTGACAGATCTAGAAATGCACATGTTCACATCACTCTGCACTGATGTCTAGAATTTGAATTTGACACATGCCACGTTGCCAAATCTGCATTTTCATGATTGTATGCTTTGTGAAGTAGTGGTTTGTTATTGTTGTGTATTTTCTATTTTCTTAGACTATTTTTGTTTTTATTAATATTCTTATTACATTATTATCCTCATTGTGTGCTGTTTATTTTTTTAAGTGTCATAATATTGGTGTGTTGTTTATTTAAGTCTTGTAGAAACTTGAAATAAAATAGGTGGCAGAGCTCGATTTTCATTGTGCCCCACAATTAACTTTTAAATGTTTTGTTTTATAAGAAAATTTTGTAATTATCATTATTAAAAGGTATTACTGACATTAAAAATAACTATCATATTACATGAAAATCTTCAGAACATTTTTAATTTTTGAGATTTTAAATTGATGTAAAAAGTGGTAAATTAATGATTAAAAGTAAGTTATTTCAATCTGCTTATTACCTGGTTCCAAATAATTAAATATAACCTGGCAACTATCTAACAGTTTCCAACTCTCAGAACTAGCCAGAACAGGAATGATGCAGACATGTGCATTTCTAGACCCTTCATCTACAAGATTACCGGATACTGCCCAGTAGAGTAGTAATTTGACAGCTCCAATAATCTAAGGTTTGTTTCAACAACAATCTTGAAACCATACATAAACCAGTTTACAACTTATTGTCAACGACTGATAGTCAACGACCTGTTGAGGATTGGGGCTGAATTAGGAACTTAGACGTGTTGGAACACATTTTTTTGTTGTCAGACACACTCTGTCTATAACGTCAAAGTCAAAACGAATTAAACAAATGTTGAATTTTAAATTTGGAAAATAATAAATTAAAAAACTCATTAAAAAATTTATATTTTGATTATTCGATTGGATAGTAGATTAAACTTTATTTATTTAAATTTTTTACTATATTTAAGTCAGAATAATAGTCCTTTTCACTTTCTTCACTCATTATTAATAAATCAACAGATACACGTTAAAATATTAGACTATAAATATTGATAAAGAATAAAAATCAAATTACGATCGATGCTATCAAAACAAATATAATTATAAAATTTCCAGAGTTGGTCGTGGTTTATTAACAAGTTCACTTTTGTTTTGCACATGTCTTGAATTCATTCATATTCAAACCCAGAAACTGATTTGACAGTACAGAAACTGCGATTAAATTCAGTTGTGTTGGAACACTAGGTTTTTGTACAGTTTTGAGTCGGAAGTTTGTTGGAACACCAAATTAGATTATGCAGAATCCTGACAGTAAGTAAACTGATTTGCTTTTGTGTTGGAACAAACCTCTACTGTGTCAGTGACTGGTTTCTGATCATTGTTGGAACAGAGCTATTATTTCACTGGTCAAAACCTAACAATCTGAGATAAACCATTTATTTGTTGCATCATCTACTTTTAATTCAATTATCGATTGATTTTCTAAAATTTTTGTACTTGTTATACAATTACATTTCAGTAAACATGAATAATATAGCTTTGGTGTTTTTTATATGGCTTTGCAAAAAATATTTATCATTCTGACAATAAAAACAAAAGTACTTACTTCTTCTCGAGACCTTTTAAAATTTTCTATACTAAATGCATAGACAGTTACTTCTTTAACACCCAATTCTCGACACCATTGAAGACATTCTGCCAATTTGTCAAAACCTTTTGAATGCCCTTCTGCCTTTTGAACTTTTGTTTTCTTGGCGTATCTTCTATTACCATCCATTATAAAAGCTACATGATTTGGCACTGGTCCACATTTTAAGATGTTTATACAAAATTTTTGAAATATTGTCAAAGTGGTATTATCTCTTACCCAAGACATTGTATTTTCTATTTATAAGGTGTTTAATTTAATTTAATGGTTATCTTCTCTTATATATTTTTTTATCTTTGAAATAATCCGATCTTTATAATCAAAAGATTACTGGTGATATACATAATTAATAAGATTTTGTAATTACGACATTATTATCAGTTTAAAATGCATTTTAAAAATCAATAAGGGTTAAGATGAGGTTAAGTAATGTAAACATCACGTAAACATGTCAAAAAAACGTGATACAGTTCAGTTCAAGGTTAACAGTATTAAAAGAGGATAGCCTAACTAGTCTCTCAAATCTGTTTGTGAAATGCACTATTGCCAAATGTCGATTAGTGACGTCACCTCAGAACCAAAGACCAGTTTAATCATAGTTTAATGGATAGTACCTGGAAAAGCGTTTCTACAAATTATAATAAAAGGTTGTTGTACTCTAAAAATTATCTATAGCATATTAGTGCTGCGTTTGAGAATCCACATCGGATGCATCTGAGATGTAAAAAATCTTTGATCACGTGGTTCAGTATACGTAAATGTAATGGGACAGATGTGTCCGATGTGGATAAAAAAACGCTCGAGATGTAAAAAATGCATCCGATGTGGATTCTCAAACGCAGCATAGAGCACGGTACAGTGTTGTTCCTGGTTGTACAATTGTACAAAAAGTTGTACAATCAGTTATGTGGTTGTACTGTTGTACGCACTTTTGAAAAAAGGCAGAAATGTTGTACAATTTGAAATTGCTAAATATTTATGTAAAATCGGGTATATAAAAGGTTTTCTTCGCTCAAAAAGTCTACGATTTGTTAAATAGCATGCATTAAAATTAATAAAAAAATAAAAGTTTAAATTTGGCGCCATTCACGACTAATCAGTACACCGTTTTACATCAAAAATATATTTTAAACTGGAAAAAAGAAGAATTTTAAGCATGGGAAAGTAGTAGGCATAGTCTGTCAATAAAAAAGAAGAAGATTAATTAGTGGTTGTACAATCGAAAGTAAAAGTGTACAATTTTGACACTGAAAGTTGTACAATTCAAAAATCCCTAGGAACAACACTGGCACGGTATACTTATATTTAAAATGACAGAATAAGCAGAATCCAGCTGTTTCAATTTTATTTTTACTTTTAAAAATCGTGAAAACAGTTGATCGCTATAGAAAAGTAAAATATTTTTAGGTAATATACTTATTATTAGAAAATATTTACAAAATTCAATAAAAAAATACCTAATAAAGTTCTGGGTTACGAGGATTATCTATTATAGTTAAAGGGTCCAAAGAAAAAAAAGTGATAAGCGCCTATTTCATAATTTTAGAGTTTCACAATATTGTAGGTCTAACTGGTCCCTACAAAATGCATAAACTCTACAGGGAAATAAGCTGTTAATTACCATGATATATGCCTAATAAACATATACATAGGTACTGGGAAAGAACCTGATAACCACCAGACGTTTTTTGTTTCTCCTGTGAAATTAACAAAATATTTTTCCTCTGGACCCTTCAGTTATTAGACGCCCTTTCAAAAGTTATTATCACATTTACAGGATGGTCTAGAATTTAATGGCAATAATTTTTTAATACGAGAAAACTTTGAAATATGTTTTTAGTTTTTTAAATTTTGATTCAGTAGGGGATGGAAGGACGGATTATAAAAGTATGGATTTTCCACTTAATTGCATTTCACAAAAATTATTCCTGATAAAATGTCTGAATCATTTGAACATCTATAAGCAAAGTATCAAATTTGTAAAATATTATATACCTTGTGACTTTTAACTCATCCGCTAGGTAGCTTCATAATCTATTAATTCCAGTATATTAAAGAAAAATGCATCATTTTATCTAAAAATCTTTTAGTTAATGACATCTTATCTGTGATACCTATTAAATAAAATCAATAACTCTGTCCGCAGAAGATCTATTGTACATATATAGAGGCCCAATAAACACATAACAATTGTTCCATGGGCACTTAACTCAAATCCTACATAAATTTAACATAATTGCTTTGCCAAAGTAATATTGATTAAAATAGAATTATTTCTTTTTACGAAGTAAGTCATTAAAATAAAATTTTTTGAATACGAAATCCTAGTCCAGATATCACCAGCCACATTATTAAAAATAATAGCCTTTAATAAAACTGCTATAAATACCAAACCCGAGTTTGATTTCAGTTGATTTCAAAATCCAGTATATTCAGTATTCTTTAAAATTCAGATCAATTCATTTTTATTCAAATTCAGCTTAACTATTTCTCCTACCCGACGTCTTTCCTATCCGACGCTTTTATGTCCCTATGACCGCTTCTCCAATCCGGCGCTTCTACGTCCCGACGCCCGCTTTTCCTATCGGACTCTTTTGCCTTCCGGCGCTCTACGTCGCGACGCTTCTGACTCCCGGGGCTCTACTTCGCGACGCTTCACGTCCCGACGCTCCTACTCAATATTTCCAAATTGGCAACACTTCCACGTATCAAAGAATGATATCAAAATATCAGAAATAAATGATGAGTCAATAACTTAAAAGAGGTTTATTATTATTTTATTCGTTATTATAGAAATTTATTATTCAATAACATCATATTTGGACCGCCAGATGGACACGTCTCAAGATGCATTTGCCGTTATATTATACCACCCTAAAATTATTTAAGAATCTGGTTTACCGAAATGCTAAAATAAATTAACAGCTCAGCTGACTGGGGTGAATGACAGTTATTCGGTTGCATAGATTCACCTTTTACACAAATATGTTTGACAGTACTACTACATAGTTGGATTGTGAACTAATTATCTCTCAATCTTTGCACTGTAGAGGTAGTTCTGAACATAAGTTAGTTCGCTGGTACTGGTCTGGCACTATTCTAGTAAACACACACACTACTTAAATCCCCTAGATGTGACTAAAACATAGATATACGTCTGTTATTGCAACTATTGTATCTCAGTAAGGTTACCTGCAGTGTCGGCCACTGAACGTTTTCCAGTACCATTTCCATATAAGTCCATGTGGGAACTACAGAGTTAACATTATCATGAGCAGGAAACGAATATTATCAGCGTTGCCAGTTTATACGGTGTAAAGGCGTTGTAACGTTGGCCGGGCCGTATAGATTAGCAACGCTGATATTATTCGTTTTCTGTTTACCCTAACACTAACTCTTTGTAGTTACAATCTTTAAGGAATATAAAAAATAATTATTTACAAGAAGTAAAGTACTTTTAACCTAACCTAACCTAACACTAACTCTTTGTAGTTACAATCTTTAAGGAATATAAAAAATAATTATTTACAAGAAGTAAAGTACTTTTAAATTTCAATAAACAAAATATTAAATGAAAATGTTGATTAAAAAATTATGCTTGATCATGGATTTCCACAGTGATGTAAAATATTTATCAAGAATTTTTTACTTTCCTGTCTGTATACAGATAAGGAAAGCATAGCAATCATTATTTTTTCAACCTCGAGCTTTTGACGGATTTTTATGTTTTGGGCCCTGAATCCATTTTGACTATTTTCAAGATGATGTCTGTATACTCGATAACTCATGAACGGATATAGAGAAAAACATCAAAGTTTAAACTTAAGCTTTATTCCGTCCTGTGGTAAGCTGATTAGATTTTGAGCACAGTCGGAACATCTGGGAGGAGGGGGTATTTTAGAGGGGGTCATTTTTCTATTTATGGAATATGTTATTTATACTTGGAACAGAAAATTCTTCAAATAAATAAAGTTGCTTGTAATATTCTCTATAATTTTTGTCCTATAAAATTTTTCCTTAAATGGTCCGTAGTCAAGAAAATTGAAAAACTTAACTTTTCAAATCTAAGAATTTCTTTATTACCACACCAAAAACTAAAATCAAATACACATTCCTCTTCACAACAATTTATTTATTCAGATATAATGTTGCAAATCCAATAAAAGACTGGATAGAAGGAATATCTGCACCTCGCTACATCGTTACAACCTTCAGAAGGCTATGTTAAGCTACTAAAATAATCTGAAAGTGAAGAGAAATATTTCAGTTCATTTAAAATTTGCATACACCCAGCAGTGACCGCCAACCCGTCGATCACGAACTATCGGTAGCTCAAAACATGTTTTAAAAATACAATTAAACATAATATAGCTTCCGTAAATTTAGCATATTCTCATAATAAACACAAGCCGCGGCAACAGACTGTACTTCTAGCCATAAACAAATAAAGGCAACACCGCATCGAATAAAAGTATCAGTCTACGCACTACAAAGTGATGTGACCTATATTTTAACACACCCGTGTTCCATATATTTTAGCCTATAAAAGCAGATTTTAAGATTTTCAACTATTTTGACACACCATTATATCAAGATTCATTTTGGTTTTAAAATTTGACACTAGATTTCTCTATACTCTATATACAGTAGATCCTGAAAACTTTCGAGAATATCGGATTTTTCAAACATATCTGCCCAAGTAGCACCACAAAAACATTTTGGATTTATTTCAGTTTTAAAATGGTTTTAATGTGGAAAATAAGAAGATACTGGTTTTAAAGTTACCTTGTAGATATACTGCGGGCATTTAAAAGCCGTTTAGCATTTAATACTGGTTTTAAAGTATCTAATAAGATTCGCTAAAAAGGGCAATTAATCTTAAAAGTTTGTATGTCTTGTTGTAGTTTTAAAATGGTTGTTTCAATTATCTTTAAAACTACTTAGTTTTATGAAGGATTTGCAGGTTGTTTGGTTTTATTATGTTCTAGATTGTGACGTTTTAGTTTTTAAGTAGTTTTAAAGAGATTCTTAATGTAATTAATAAAACCTATTATTAAATCTGCTTGATCTTAAGACAATTTGGTCAGTAAATATTGCGTTTTAAAACTATTTCATTACTTTTCCTTATAACGGCTTTCTTAAATGCAATTAGATAGCTATATTAAAACAGAACGCTCTTAACTGAATCAATTTGGTTATCGTAAAGACTAACTGTACTTCTTGTTAGAAACAATAAAATTTAAATCATCCCCTATTTTTACGTGGCCCAAATGAACCCCGCATTTTGTATAATGTCAGAGGTGTACCTACAATAATTAGAAAAACTGAAAACAATATATTATTATTATTAATCTAAAAATACACAAAACCCAAACGACTGATATGAAATGGATATTTTTAAGTTAGGTTTACATTAAAACCGAGCGGCATTTATCACAGCCGCATTAAAACTAAACTGTTTAAATAACAAACGAACCTTTCTTCTGTCTAGGGCATGTGCTCTTGGAACAGTACAAAACTCGATTAAATAAAACCCTTTGATCTTAATGTTTCCTTGCCCATTAACTAAGAGGTTTTATTTAATTTCCGGCCATTTTACTTCTCGAGATGGTGGAAGCCATGATAGATAAAAATATTTAGGCTTACATAAAAACGACAAGTTAACCACTTAAACGTATAATTTCTATTTATTTCAATACAGAAAAATCTAAAATAATAGATAAACTTATTTTTCTTTCTAATTTATGTTTTTCAATTTATAATTTTGTTGTTTTGGATAATAAAACTTCAGAAATTTTAAGGCCCCTAAGTTTTTTTAAGACTTTTTCGTTAACATTTATCGATAAAGTCGGGTGCGCAGTATATATTTCTACCCTGACATTCCGAAATTACTACCTTAATTTTTATTATTTTAGAGCGTCACCATATTATCATCTTCAAATATAAATTGCTTTTATTTGCTAAAAGAATTATGTATATAGTTTTAAAAAACTATTTTCATATGTTTACAATAAGATAAATTATCTTATATATGTAACTAACATTATTAAGTCCACTTCAAAACCGCGTGTGTTTAAAATGTATTTAAAGTGATTTTAAAAGGGTCTTCACAGGAGCTTCAAAATCACTTGTTCAAGGTAATATAGTTTTATGGTGGTTATTTTTGGTTTTATTGACCTCTTTCAGAGTGGGCCCTTTTATGCTGAAGGCGTATTACAACCTCCTTTTAAAAATAATTGGTTTTAATTGCAGTTTTATTTTACAGTTTTAAAGCATCCTTGAAGTACTGAATAAAACCGTTCAATGCTACTTGGGTGATTAGAAAGTTCGATGTGTTCGTTTTTTTCTTTCAGAATGTTATTTTGTGGGAGTAGTTGCAGGTTTTAACAAATATTTAGGCATATTTTGGAAAATACAGGGGCATGCATTTGGTTTAAACTTATAGCTTTTACAGCAGGATTATTTTATTAAATTTCCATCAGGTTGCAAATAATTATCATTACGTATAATTTCACTTTATGGAAAGTGCATGGAGGAAGGATAATTAGGAAAGTGTTTACAAAACTACTGTTATTTTTTAAGGAATAAGGTTAGCCCTGGTAATTGCATATATAACCATTTTTGTCTTAAACTATAGTCCTTCGGAAATTGAAAAACGGATATTAGCTTTCCAACCGGTTTTTGTTTTGTACTTACATCCAGGAATACAGCTAATTATTAAAGTTATTATTTACCTTGTAACGTACCACCAGACACTTTTTAACACGTATTTTAATTATTAACCAAATCCTTTGGATATCTACTGAACATCCCAATATCCACTGAATGTCCAGTCCATGGTGGATATCTATTTTATATCCATGAGCTGCAATTTATAGACATGCAAATTTCCATAAATAATAGTAATTATATAGCAAATTATTAAAAAATTACGCCATTGGGGCTAATAGTACCGTTCAGATATTTAAAATTAATTTTTTTAAGGTGTATTCAATATCCCATGGACATCCACTAAATATATCAAAGTCTAGGCGCGAACACAAACCATCGTGGATATCCACTAGATGTAATTTTTGATTTTGCTTACTAAGTATAGATGGCGATACTACTTTCGCATCTACTCATGCTCAACCCGCCGTAATTGAGTTCGATCGAAATTTGTTTCACAATCAGACTCCATTAGAGACTGGAGTCAAGAATTTCCATTTATTGCTGAATAGTCCTAATAAGGATAACTTTCTCCTTAGTGGGCAAAATCAAAGGCAGAGTGTTGAAAATATTTTTTATCTCTGCTATTTTCTTTCGACTTTATTCAATAATCATTGGTTACTTAAGATTACTAAAGATACCTATAAAATATTTTGCTGAATATCCGAATTCTTCTATATCCTGGGATATAGACGGACATTTGGTTGGATATCCACAGAATATATTCTGTGGATATCTCTGGGATTTCTTGTATTGTCTGAAAGATACTCATTAGATATTTTGCTGGATATCCATATATCTTCTATATTCTGGATATAGACGGACATTTGGATATCCATATTAGATTCACAGAATATTTCTGATATCCTGTGGATATATTGGATATCCATAAAAGATATTATGTGGATATCTCTGGGATTTGGTGTGTTGTCTGGGTAAATGATTCAAGTCTGGTTAAACACACTACAGGAAGATATCCACTTTATTTCGCTAAATCATACAGCTTTTCGCAAAGAAAAATTCACAAACTTTCGGCTTTATGTTAATACACAAGTTTAAGAAATAATAAAAAAAAACTGTTTTAATTTCATTTTATCTTTTTTGAAAAAAAGGCGTGAAAACAACACTTTAATTTAAGTGTATTAAAATATCGTTAGTGCAAAGTGACTTTATCGCCGCGTTGCCAGATTTATGCTTGTATGGCTAGAAGTACAGTGTCGGTAAGGATCTGTCGCTGACGTCAGCAAGCTAGAATCGGAGTCTCGATCAGCGCGCTAGTGTTCGAAAACGACACTTCGGTTGCAGGCGAGCTCACACTGGTCATTTTGAATGAATCACTTTTCATGAATCATAAAAAGTGACTATAGGTGGGTTCTGACGTCAGTTTAGCTGAAGAAGTTCGACTGATTCAGTAGTATTCTAGCGGGGTGTTTCCGACAAATATCCTCTAGATCAGTCATACTCAACCTGCGGCCCGTATGCGGCCCTCCAAGCTTTTTTGTGCGGTTCCAAACACTATTATTTTGGAAGGTGCTTTTTAAAACTGTCTTTTTGTTTTTAAAATTTTGAGCGAAATCCGCGAAAAGATTAACATTAAGCGATAAATATCATGCTAATATTTTTGTTTTGCATTTATGTTTTGTTTTATATATTAGAGATTCCAACTAATTTTAAATGATTTATGTGGTCCGAAAGAAAAAAAAAAGGTTGAGTATAGCTGCTCTAGATGAAGACTGGACAAGAATTTTTCAATTCAGACCAGTCGTTTGTGCATCGTTATCAAAAAATCGATTAAAAAAAAACTTAAAATTGCAAGCCACATAGCTGGGGAGCAACTGAAAGGGAATCATCAGAACATCGAATTGGACCAACATATTAAAATTTAGCTTTATTCTAATTTTTTTACTTCATTGCTTGGGCTATTAAAGGTAAAAATGCATTTTTTTTATTAATATGTACCTATTGGTAAAATAAATAAAGTGCTTATTATTTTGTATTAAGCATAGCCGTGCTTTCTCAGCGAACATGTGGCAACTACGATATCCCATCGCTAGCTTTACGTGTCTTTTTTTTACCGGTTTGTTGGAATCGTTGTTTCACTGATGCGGCCTTGAACGCCTTGTGTTGAATTCGATGTATTTATGGTCCAAATAAAAAACAGTTGACATTTTGGATTTAAATTTGTGTTTATAATTTTATTTGAATGTACCTATATACTTTAATTTGGAAGTATATATTTTTAAAAGCTCATCTTTTCAGTTTTTCCCAAAAAAAAAACAATTAAATAATTAATTAACTCCTTAATTCTGATTAATTCCCGCAATCCAGCTGTCAGTTGTCACATCTAATCGGAAAAACCATCTATTGAAATGATGGAATGGTGTTGCATCGATTGCATCAATGTTGGATAAAAAGACAGCGCTGTTAGATCATCATTGATAGATTGATGAAAAAAAGACAGGTAGATACCGCACCGATGCCATTGTTGCTGCAACAGCTGGACAAAAAGACAGACGTTTTGTGAGTGATATTCGGTTCGGCTAATATCCCACCACCATATCTTCTAATTCTAGTCAACGACTAGCTGTTGCCCCGTTGCCATTTTATTAACTTATATACTAGTCGTATGCCTAACACGAAAAAATATCACTGAATATGCATGTCGAATATAACTGTGTATTTACAGTTTATTACGCCGTCTTCTAGTGGCCTGGAGCAACGGAAAATTTGAGTAAACGACCGAAGTCCGAAATTCTGGCCATCAGGCCTCTCCAGTATTTACGGGGCCTCTATCCCTAAGGACTAAAAGAGTCTATAACTAGTTGCTAATGCTGCTAGACTATGCTATTAAGGGATAATTTTATTTTTTGCTACTGGTAAATGAATGTTCCTTCGGGACTCCAGGACCCTTTCACTGATGACAGTGCTGCCTTAATCCCTTGATAGTATATTGACAACAGTGGTTAAAGCAGCTGTTACAATGTGTCTTTAGACAGTTGATTGTTACATTTAGGTTGTCTTACGACCGTTCATTTTGAAAATTATTAAAAGCTCAACACATTGAAAACGTTGGCGACCATTGCCCTAGGGAAATATAACTCATACAAATTCGAAATATATTTTTTCCCATGCGTCATTTAAATAAGAAGTAGCATTCAGTGCGCCACTACGGCCTTTCCATTCCTATCAATGTGCTTTTGAAGATAGGGATAATTTTCTGCCCCATCCTGTAATAGATGAACAAGGAGAGTTATTGACCTCAAGTATCAATGACGCTGCTAGGCAGAAGTTGGGCAGGCTTTTGGAAGGTGTAAAGGTGGTAAACGTCGAACGACTTCAAGAATTTTGCGGTAATGTTTGTTCGCTAGTGTCGTATCATGAATAAAAATTTCCACAGCTAATCACAATTTATTAAACTACGCGAAATTGTTATTAGCGTCTTTAGAATAATTTTCTACGCCAATGTATCAGGATCACTTCTATCAGCCCTGTAGCAAAAGCCTGTCCAACTTGTCCCTGCTCCAGATTGCAAATGATTCACTTAAAACGTGCCTCTTAGTAGCAGGTTACGCCCCATCTAGCGGATAATTTAATACTGTCAATCTAGACACCTTGTCCATATTCTCTGAGAAAAATATTTTTTATCTTAGGAGGTCAAAACCAAAACAAATATAACAAGAACAAAATATATATTTTTAGTTATGTATATATGTACATTCAACAAAAACAGAGGTTAATAGGTAATACTTAATAATGAAATTAAACTTTTATCTTGATTTTTTTTTTCGGTCGTTACCATTAAAGCATTAAAAATATATAATGAAAATTTATCGGGAATGTAAAACTAGACATACAACTACGGGTTTTATTTTGAAAAATCTTAGGGTTCGTTCTGTAGAGGCTAATGGCTTTTTACTATTTGAAATATAATGCTAAGTTGACCTTAATTATACCCAACTATGTGAAGTGTCTTCTTTTTTAATATATTCACTAATTTTTGATTCCTATGAATTCCCCGGTCTTTAAAAATTCATAATATAATACAAACATTATAACACGTACTATTATTATTTAGCCTCTAAAAAGCAAAGTTCGGAATATATCTGTTATGTGTAAAAAGAGAGCCTCTTAAGGAATATGCAGTACAATAAAAATAATATAAAACCCTTTCAGTTTATTATGTAATCGATAAATTATTATATATAAAACTAGAGATGATTTTATAAAAATACTGAAAGAAACATTTAGCCAATGTAATTAGAAACATTTTTTCATTCAAGACTTCCTTAAGAGGCACTAAAGACGGTACGACACTTGGCATGAATAAAATTGCAAATTAAAATAGAACAGATTTCTTTTCACAACATAAAATCATTTGAAACGATTTCACAAGTAAACGATCACAAAAATAGAAAATAACATTTTATAAATGCAAATCCGCATCACCAAAATTTTTCAATAAAAAATCCATTCTTGCATTTACAATTTTCTTCATTCCAAACGTAAGTCATCTCGTAAAAATGTTGTATCGACTATGAAAATCTAAAATCTTATTGCAACGATTATTGCGTTAACTAATTTAAGGTTAATTATGCTTTTCCTGCTACTTGAGCGGCACCTTTGTTAGGATTTTTATCTGTACTCTGTTCCTTTTCGAGTTGACGTCCAAGGTATTCCCAGTTGTGCACCATCAGTTTCTGGACGGCCAATAGAGCTTCATAACGTACATTAGGGTCTTCGTGGGCCAATAATTGCATGACTAGTTGTTTTCCACCAAGTTGTTCAATTATACTGTAACACGAAAATGTAATGAGAAAATGAACAAAAACTTCTAGTCGGAGAGAGAGCTGATGATAAATTTGGAGAAGGTGTTTTAGGCAATTTGAAATTATAAAAAACAGTAAGTATCTAGATTAATGAATCTGAAATCAATATTTTGCAAGGGTATTTGCGGATAGTTTGCTACTCTGTAGTATATGACATTTGCAAAAAAATAATCCCAAATATATTTTAGGTAACTTGGAATTATTATAATTTCTTATTTTAGCATTTATACAATCTAGAAATAAAAATTCTAAACTATCTTGAAGACATATTTAGGTCTTTACGTCAAAAACTTAGGTACAGGACATGATACATAAAGTCTGCCTAGTAGAATCTTGAATAAAACCAAAAAATGTAATAATATACACTGTGGAACAGCCAAATTGAATAAATTCGGTAATAAATAACAAAAAGTTTGTATATAGTAACAGTAGCCAATAGCAACTTTCTTATCTTAAATGCAACACCCTGTACATTTTTCAATTTTCGGATTCTTCAGAAAATTCTAGACATATTTTATGTACTATGTCCTATACCAAACTGTTTCGAAATATTAAATGTTTCCCGATTTATTGCAACAATTAACAATAATAAAATAAAATTATTTGATTACAGAAATTCGTTACAACACACTCAAAAACTAATAAGTAATACTGTTTAATTTCTTGATATGAAACAAAAAAAAAAACACAATCCCAATGTAAGAGATGTTCAAAATGCTCGCCGCGAACCTCTTGGCAACATCCTAATCGGAAATAAAAATGTCTTCTAACGTTACTCAACATCTCAGGAGTGACCGATCGAATCGCAAGCATTATTCGTCTTCTTAAGTCAGCTAGGTTTTAATATTTCTGAAACAGTTAGGTATAGGACGAAAGCATCTCACAAAATATGTCGAGAATTTTCGGAAGAATCCAAAAATTGAAAAATATACAGGGTGTTGCATTTAAAATAAAAAAAAGTTTGTATTGGCCACTGTTACATGACACATCCTGTATAAAGTTTTTGTTAAAAAAATGCGCAACTAAAAATACCAATCGACGTGTGCGAGCGTTTTTCAGAATACGTCCCCATTTATTTATTACAGAATTTATTCCATTTGGCTGTTTAACACCGTACATGACGACATATTCAAAATAAGCGACTCAAAGTTTATTTCCGGTATAACCGCAACCGACGCTGGTAAGCACGCTACCGCAAATACCATAAATTTAGCCGAATCCTCTGATGTTTAAACCAGAGGTTACGTCACCTCCAAAAGATAGCACACTCCAAGCTATACCTCGTACTCATTGGTATAGCGCTTGCCAGCTGTGGTATGCAACTACACGGGCAGGTTAGGATTTTACAGGTATGTCGACCCTACTTGACTGCAGATATCGATACACAATAGCGAACCTTCTAAGCCGGGTCGCTGCCCCAGTTAAAGACTAGTTAAAAACCTAACCAGTTGTTACATTGGTTTACAGCGGTGTTTTTGATAGTGTTTCACTGGTAGGAAAGAGGGGATAAAGGATCTATTTATTACAGTCATTGATAGCAGTTATATTGGCTAACAGCAGTATTTTCCTAGAGAAAGGGTGGATTTCACTAATTTTTATTGGGACATATTCTGGAATTTTGTAATTTTTCGGGAGAGGGCAAATACCTCTCGTAATTATAGTCCTTAGATAAAAGAAACAACAGATGAAGCATTTCATTCATAACGTATCATTTGTTTGGTCCCAATTATTGGAAAAGAGAAAGAACATATTTTATGTGGATTGAAAGAAGACAGACTGTAATCCTAGATCTCGTCTGGTAACTCCTAGATTATTAATTTGCAGTAAATACTAATTTTTTGTAAGTTAAATTTAAAAAAATAAATCATGAAATACTAACCTATATGGTTTGCAATAAACTTTATAATGGTTTAAACTTTAAAACCTATGGGATTTTAAAATCCATGCATTTATTTGCAGGACTATTAATGGTGTTTGCCATAGTTTATCATAGTATTTGCAAAGTTGTTATTTAGCAAGCGTATGTATGTAAAAACGATAGGTACAAAAATGCCCTGCCTAATGGTGTAAAAATAGGTGCTGCTAAAATATCAAGTCTGCTGAAAGCAGTTAAACTAGATTAATCTACTTTGTACACATTTTATTCGTTTTTTGTTTGGTTACAAGTCATTTTATTTAGAGACTTACTATTAGAAATGTTTCGGGAAATATTGCAACAACTCTGCCCACAATGCGTCGGAGTGGGAAACACTGCACTAGGTACGAAAATGAATTGGTGGGGACGTTTGATATGTCGTAATATATCTCGAAACTATTCTAATTAAATAAAACTTGTTGCTATTAGTGAGTTATAGGTAAAAACTATTTTTAAATATGAAAGGGATAAACTACACAGCCTGGCAACAGCGCACCAGGCAACGCATGACCGGGTTTAAAGGTAAATAGAGAAGCTTTGTTATAGTCATAACCCTTGAGTAGTTAGAAATCGAATGAGAAATTTACATTTCATATTACGTTTTAATTTTCAACAAACATAAGTGCATTGCTATTAATCGTCATAGGTTAGTGACTAGGAGGTAAACTTAGTTCTGTAGATAATTTTATATACAGTGACATACAAAAAAGTAGATGATAAAAAAAATGATAGGATTAAATTGTGTTTTAAAAAAATGTTAATAAAGATACAACGTGTATTAGATTAAAGATATGCCAGGAGCAACATAATTAAGGGAAGTGAACGTGTTCTACAGGCACAAAAAGAAGAAAAATTTGGGCAATTGTAAGATGTGCGAATAAATAAATTCAATATAATTTAAAGATGTTTTATGTCCAAAAAGAGCAGAATCAGAGGTTTTAGAGGTAAGAAATTAACTGAACCAGATTAAGTTCAGATAAAAAAATTGGGATATCAGATCAAGGCAGTTTCCAATCAAATCCCAATCAGTGTCAATGAGGATGGGACAATGAGATATTCCAAAGGAGTCTTTCAGCGCTAGCAAAAAGTAGAAGGAAATGTGGGACAAAAGATCGAGGGAATTTCTGATTAACTTACAAGCAACGTCCAAGAGGTTAGGACAGATGAGATGGAGCTCCTAAAAATAGAAGACAAGAAGATAAAAGGAACGACGCAGCTTTCGATCAAACCCCCAAGCAGTATCCAGGATTGGACAACAGATGAGAGAAAGCCACACACACTTGTTCATTGAAGGAAGTTTTGGTGACAAATGGATCGACGTAGTTTCCGACCAGCCCCGTCTCGTTTTGTGAAAATTATTGTAAATGCACTTAATCAAATTATTAAAATAGTTTTTTTTTGGACTTCTCTTTACACTGAATGGTAAGTTATTAGGTAGTTCACAATTATAATATCGATAATAAAATGGCAGACAGAGACTGTGACTCTGATATTTTGAGGTAAATGACTTAAGATAACATAGACTTTAAGATAATCTATGCCGATATTTTTTCAAAATATTTTTGCACATTCTAAGCGAGACTAAATATTAACCTACTTAATATGTACATTTATCTCAATAATACCCTGTGTAACATTATAAAAAGTAAAAGAATTCAGGAATAAATTCTAGTATCCGAGAGGTGACAAATTTAAGACTTACATTAACAATTAGGTTGCTGGTTTAGTGGTTATGCTGTTGGGATAGTAACACAAAGATCGTAGGTTCGAGCCCTGCTCGGAGAGGATTTTTTTAAAACAATTTTTCTTTAGAATTTATTCCTGATTTCATTCACTTGTACTTGTATCAGCAATAAAACCGACAAATTATTCAGTTCATCTCTTCATTTTATTATTATAAAAAGATATTTCATTCATAGTATATTTGGGATTTAAGAGGGTATTTTAAATAATACATTGATGCTACTTTTACTTACTGTTTTCCACGGGGATAGTGACGAACATATTCTCCAATATCGAAACTAGCAACGCTCAATACCAAGGGGTCTTTGCTCGTTTCTAACAAATGGATCAAAATTCTGAGTAATTCGTAGTTCTTTTCGTTCAATCTCTGTGCATTTTCGCGCCAAAATTTGCTCTTGTGCACAGGAGACCATTCCAAACGACCAGATTTAACCTAAAAAATATGTTTTATAGAAATACAACCCAAAAATGCTTCTACAAAGAAACTTACTTCGGTTGAGTATTCATCAAAGGAACTAAGATCTTGGACTGAGCTTTGGAGTCTTTCAGTCAAAAATTCAACGTCGGATGTAACATCCTCATCGTCGAATTTACGTTGTTCCAAGATTGCCAATTGCTTAAGTACCTAAAAAAATATACATTTATAAATTTTGCCACAGAATGAAATAAATCTTTCTCACCTTGCATTGTACCATAGCGATGCAGTGTTCTTTCGCCACTTGGTGATCTTCCGGTTTCTCAATCAAATTTCTGAAAACGGCTAAAATGATCCTGGTTACCTTTTCCTTTACGGAATCGCTCAAGATATCGGCTAAAATAGGAATAACGTTAAACTTGTTCATCTTTTCAGCCAAAAGCGGGTTGAACGTCAGCACCCACAAGCAGAATATCAGTTGGTACTGTACTTGGAAGTTTACTCTGCCGGAAAGAACGGAAAGTAGAGTAGAAATTCCGTCTACAGACACGAAAGCGAAACGGTATTCGTCTATGCGAAGCATCATCTGGAGACATCTGGCTACGGATTGAATGTATTCGTTGTTCTGTAGAAAGAAATAATGTTATAGCTTTTTTGTAATAAGCGGATGAAACACCAGATGTTTGATACAATAAGCAACACGGATCATTCCTTTGCCAATTTGTACATTTTAAAGACATTACAGAGAACAATCAGTAGCGAAACTCTCAAGTGGTATCTTTTATCTGTACGAGTCATGGTTTTCCACAAGGTCGAAGTGATTTTTCAGGCGACGCCATTTTGCTAGTATCATTCGCAAATCCGGGTGCGTAGTTTTTGACGTAACGACTGATGTTTTAGATAATTTTTATATATGTATCTGTACAAAACATTTTCTCAAAATTTATAATACTACACTCTAAAAACTACAATATCTTTGGTCTCCCATCTGAAATTGAGACTGCAATAAAGTTCAACTTAAGAGATATGTGATAAAGTACACATTATAGCTGTGAAGCAGGCGTCAAATCTATAGAGACCGCCAGTGGAAAAAAATAGCTTCGTTTGCGGTAAGAATCCCGAACTGATTTTGAATCTATAGTAACTTTTCGCATGCGCAGTAGTTAAAACTCTTGGTTCTAATTCTGCGTTGGCGGTAAAACTAATTCCATCCGTTATTGGTTCTGAACAGATTGAATATCGAAATATAGTAGTGATTGCGTTCGCGGTAAAATTCAGAATTGATAATGAATCCGGCATGAGTTGTTTTGGTTACGAAATCAGAACGGTTCTAGAATTATTTTATAACTGCGCAGAACAATTGCGTAAAAACAAGAGTTTATGAACCAGTTCAGAATCGATTATTTTTAGTAGGAACTAAAACATGATCTTTTTATTTTCCGACATTTTTAAAGAATATCTTGAAAAAATTTTAAAAATTATAAGCACTAATATGATGTTATGAGTCTCTTATATTTTGTTTTCTTGACATGAATGTTATTTAAGAAATAATTACGATTATACGCAGGTGTGAAAAAGTTCTGTTTGATATAATTGTTTTCGAATAATTCAATGACTGAACCAAAACATAGAACTCTACGTCATTTCCGATTCAGGATTAGTTTTAATATAACCGAAACATTTTTATGTCTGTGCATACGCGAACTGTTCTAGAACTAGAACCAAGGCAAACCTATCATGAATTAGTTGTTCTGAATCAATTCAGGATTCTTTCCGAGAACGAAGCTAAATAACTCAACCGACAACTGTTTGGATACAACACCAGCAAAAGACCACAATAAAAAAAAATAGCAACAACAGCACATCGCTTAACAACTCGTAAATTGATCCTAGGAAAATGGCGGTTCATCGACGAAGTTCCGATACGCAGATCTTGCGAAAAACTTTAGTCGCAATACTGATTGTTCTCTATACTGTGTTTTGAATGCTTCGACATAGAGAATAACAACATTAAATCCAAATTAAAGATTGAGAATACGAAATAAATCAAATATATATTTTAACAAATAAAAATTGTTGTATTAAGAAAAACCTATGTTGATATATACCGTTTCTGTAGTTTTAAAACTTATGGTGTTATTTTAAAAGATACACTTTAAATTCTTATATTATACCTTCGATAAAAAAACAAACCAAATTCAATTGCTCACATAATTTTTTCTAATTTTGACAGTTTTTGTAATCGCAGCAAAGGTAAAAATGATTTTCTTCTTGTCATATATGACTGACATAGAAAAAATGGTGGAGAAAGTTAAAAAAAAAAAAAATACTAAAAATAACCAAACCTCACATTTTAGCCACTTTTTAACATAAATTAATAAAACACACGCGTGGCCGCGTGGGGGTACTTTTCCAATATACACGTGACACGCAAAGTGTTAACTGGTTACAAAAAAATTCATTATCTCACCAGTTGCGAAAAGAAAACAAATAAAAATACAACTACTTATAGATTCTTATTAAAAGTTTAAATCGAAGGAAGGTTGGCTATATAAAAATAGATTTTGTTAATGAACTTACAACCTATAGTCTCTACAGAATAAAGGAGTGCAGGAATTTAATATGCAGAATGTAATACATGTTCAAGAGGTAGACATATTATTTATACATCTGATCGGCCTAATAAAAGTTTTCGTTTAGATTTAATCATGTTCCCATGGTTTTTACTCTGTAATAAAGCTTTTCTTTTGACATATAAGTCAGAGCCGTATCGTATGTATTTTAATTGATTCGGAATTTTGTATTAGTATATATTTTAATTTTACAGTTATATAAGAATGTCGAGTGCATCAGAAAATATTGCAAACACAAGTACGCGTAAGCGACCTAGTGGACATAAAGCTTTATCTTTAGAAGAAAAAAAAAAAAAATGTCGTACTTAATGTATTTAATTTTTCGAAAAGACTTTTTTTCACTTCCCTGATGAAACTGCTACTAAATGTGAGACCTATATTGGAGTAACTACACGAACCGTGTATAACATTATTAAAGAAGATACAGTTATTGAAGAAGTCTTACATCTGAAAAACCGCCGAGGAAAAAATAAGACTTTCATTGAAACTTGGGTAAAGAATGTAAATGTAAAATTACACTCAGAAATAGAAAATAGCCCCACTCTTCGAAATACATCATATTTTCATCTGCAATAGTAGTTTACGTTATAGGCCCGTTACCTAGATCCTTACATGCGAGCACAGACGTTATATGAAAGTGCGAGCATGTAGAGATCAGGTAACGGGCGCGTATCGTACGTTTTATGATATACTGCAATTTACTACGTTTTACAACCTAAAATTAAATAAAATTTTATCATTTGACACTATAATTACCTACTTTGCGAATGTAACTTTAAATAATGACAGTTCAGTTACAACTATGGTGCATTTGATTTGATCATCGGAGATCTCCGAGCGCTGCATACGTGTTTGAATTGACATTAAGAGCGATCCCAAAAGTGTTTATTTCGCTTTGGAGCGAGAACAGAGAGCGAGCTCGATGTTATCAGAGCAGAAGGATCGAGAAGACGGATTTTTTCTAGGTTTATTAATGTTCAAGTCAAAGAAAACAAAAGACTTCCATGAAGAAATGGATGGCCCTACGTTTGAAAACTGGTTTCAGAACATTATAAAACAAATTCAAGCCAACTCCGTTATTGTTTTGGATAATGCATCCTATCACATGAGAAGGTTTGTGGGTTAGAAGAGGTTTTTTAACTTTAAAATGCATTTAATCAAATAAGAAAAATAACAAATGAAAACTTATAACTAATTATTGTTATAGTCAGGTGCTCGTAGCAACGTCTCGAGCCCGACTGCCCGCTGCCGGTGTTCGACCGCCCGACCCCTTTTCCTTCACTTTGCGCACATCACTTACCAGTGGCGTAGCACTTGTGTTTTATAACCACTACACACAGTCGATTAAAGGAGTCACTACCTACAAGATCGAAAAAAGAAAGATATTTCAAAATGGCTTCATTGTAAAAATATCAGTCCTCCTAAATAGCAAGGCAACATAAAAACAAATTCAAAAAATATATTATAGAAAAAGGACATTAATTTCTTAGATTGCCTCGTTACCATGCAGAGTTAAATCCCATTGAACTGATCTGGTCACAATTAAAAGGTTATGTTTCTCAAAACAATACAACATTTAAATTACTTGATGTGCGAAATTTGTTTTTGAAAGCAGTTTCAGGTGTAAATGGAGAGCATTGGAGAAAATGCATTGATCATGTTAAAAAGGTAGAAAATTCATTTTGGAAAATGGATATAGCAATTGAAAACTTAATAGACCCTATAATAATAAACCTCAGAAAAGACAATGGTAATGATACCAGTAGTTATAGTGACTTTTAAAGATAGTTTTTGAACTTTGTATTTTTTTTAATCTATGATATAGTAATGATACCAGTAGTTATAGTGACTTTTAAAGATAGTTTTTGAACTTTTTATTTTTTTAATCTTTAATTTTAGGTACTGAAGTGTTACTTTTAATGCAAAGATTAAAAAAAGATTAAATTTAGGTTCGTTTAATATGAAAGTGTAACAATTTTGTCAGAAGCATAAGGTTTATTTTTATTTTTTGTAAATAATATAACTTTTTTCATTCAAAATTTAATCTCCGAAGTATACAACATTTTGTATGCCGTAATCTTATTTATATTATAGAAACTTATTTTGCAAAGTACGCCTATGGAATGTGACGTTATATACCCACTTTTACTGCACTCCTCTTTTATTCAGACTAGTAATAATTTTGTTTTGGTCCTTATTTTCCATTCTAAAGCTGCACAAAATAATCATCGCACAATACAGGACAAAATAACCCACTTTCTTGCAAACTAAATAACTTTAACAAGCAAGATAAACACCTTACAACAAGCGGTTTAGAAAAATTTATGATTTTCTATTTTTTTTTAAATATGCCAATGAAATGAAAGAAGTTACGCAACTAACATACACGTAAGTAATATTGGTTGCATAAATGTCTAGTCAAAATTAGAAAAAAAATATTGTATGTAACACGTTACATGCCGTTTTGTGTAACTCGTTCATTTTGTGGGAGCTCGATCCGCTTGTCCCGCAAAGATTCACTCGTCACTAAGACATTACGTAACATAAATAGCTATTATTATATGTATGAAAAAGAACAATATCAAAACGAACCGATGTTATACAGATCGTATTTTAAGAAGCATACAATTTGCAAATTCATAACCATCAAATTTGGTGTTTAGGACACCAACCACAACGCTGCAAGAATTTTGCTTGGGACAGTTCAATATTGTCAATATTTCTTTTGTTTTTTTATTGGTCTAATAAATTGTATATTTATCAAAATGTTTATGATACTGTAACCGTATTAATTTGAATGTTATTCATCTCATAGTCGAAGCATTAACTCCTTGATGTGTTGGTTTCATTATTAGTTTTATAATGGTAGTGATTTATTGCAGTTGCTGTAAAGGAAGATCGTAACGCGTGATCAATGACATTTGCAAATTTGTTGTTGACCAAATTCCTTTTGTGTATTATTGCGTTTAAATGAGTTAGGTAAAAACATGCA